GGGTATAGCCCTGGAGGGCAGGGGGGCTCAAGACTCTTGATTGGTCTTCAAGGATCACCTGCTACAAGCTCAGGAGTGTTGCATCCCAGCTAGAAGGAAGTGCAGCAGGAGGGCCAGGAGACCTCCTTGGATGGATAAGGAGCTGCTGAGGAAAATTCAAATGAAAAAAGAGTTTTATAGAAAGTGGAAGCAAGGACAGGCGGCCTGGGAAGAGTACAGGGATGTTGTCCGGGAAGCTAGGGACCAGGTTAGGAAAGCTAAGGCCCAGTTAGAATTAAACTTGGCTAGGGATATTAAGGATAACAGGAAGGGATCCTACAGGCACATAACAAACAAAAAAACAGATTAGGGAGAACACAGGCCCCCTCAGGAAGCTCTCAGGGGGAACTAGCTACACAGGATTTGGAGAAGGCTGAGGTTCTGAATGACTTCTTTGCTTCGGTCTTCTCTGGCAAAGGCTCTGACCACACCACCCAAGTCTTGGAAAGCAGACGCAGGGACTGTGAGAATGAAGACCTTGGACCCCCTGGAGGAGAGGATCTGGTACAAGACCTTCTTAAAAATCTGAACATGCACAAGTCCATGGTTCCTAATGAAATCCATCAGCGGGTCCTGGAGGAGCTGGCGGATGAAGTTGGTAAGCTGCTGGCCATCATATTTGAAAAATCATGGCAGTCAGGTGAAGTTCCCGATGACTGGAAAAAGGGAAATATAACCCCCATTTTCAAGAAGGGGAAAATGGGTGACCCAGGCAATTACAGAGCAGTCAGTCTCACCTCTGTGCCTGGCAAAATCTTGGAGCAGATTCTTCTGGAAGGCATGCTAAGGCACATGAAAATCAACAAGGTGCTTGGTGACAGCCAGCATGGCTTCACTAAGGGGAAATCCTGCCTGACCAATTTGGTGGCCTTCTATGATGGGGCTACAGAAGTGATGGACAGGGGTAGAGCAGTTGGTGTCATCTACCTGGACTTGTGTAAAGCGTTCAATGCTGTCCCACATGACATCCCTGTCTCTAAATTGGATAGACATCAATTTGATGGATGGACCACTCAGTGGATAAAGAACTGGCTGGAGGGCTGCACACAAAGAGTTGTGGTCAATGGCTCAATGTCCAGCTGGAGACCTGTAACGAGTGGTGTCCCTCAGGGATTGGTGTTGGGACCGGTCTTGTTCAACATCTTTGCCAGTGACATGGACAGTGGGATTGAGTGCGTCCTCAGCAAGGTTGCTGATGACACCAAGCTGTGTGGTTTGGTTGATACGCTGGAGGGATGGAATGCCATCCAGAGGGACGTTGACATGCTTGTGAGGTGGGCTGATGCCAACCTCATGAAGTTTAACCATGCCAAATGCAAGGACCTACACCTGGGTTGGAGCAATCCCAGGCACAGCTACAGGCTGGGCAGAGAAGAGATTCAGAGCAGCCCTGCGGAGAAGGACTTGGGGGTGTTGGTCGATGAGAAAATGAACACGAGCCGGCTTCAGTGTGCGCTTGCAGACCAGAAAGCCGACCGTATCCTGGGCTGCATCAAAAGGAGTGGGACCAGCAGGTCGAAGGAGGTGATCCTGCCCCTCTATTCTGCTCTCGTGAGACCTCACTTGGAGAATTGTGCGCAGTTCTGGTGTCCTCAACATAAAAAGGACATGGAACTGTTGGAACAAGTCCAGAGGAGGGCCACGAGGATGCTCAGGGAACTGGAGCACCTCCCATATGAATATAGGCTGAGAAAGTTGGGGCTGTTCAGCCTGGAGAAGAGAAGGCTGTGTGGAGACCTCATAGCAGCCTTCCAATATCTGAAGGGGGCCTATAGGGATGCTGGGGAGGGACTCTTCATTAGGGACTGTAGTGATAGGACAAGGGGTAATGGGTTAAAACTTAAACAAGGGAAGTTTAGATTGGATATAAGGAGGAAATTCTTTCCTGTTAGGGTGGTGAGGCACTGGAATGGGTTGCCCAAGCAGGTTGTGAATGCTCCATCCCTGGCAGTGTTCAAGGCCAGGTTGGACGAGGCCTTGGGTGATATGGTTTAGAGCAAGGTGTCCCTGCCCATGGCAGGGGGGGTGGAATTTGATGATCTTAAGGTCCTTTCCAACCCTAACTATTCTATGATTCTATGATTCCATATAGCTTTTAAAATATCCAACAAATCTCACAGATTTTGTAAACACTCATTTAGGTAAACACAATATGAAACTGCATCTTGTAAATTAGATCTCCTACAGTATTCCAGAGAGGGCATGAAAATAGTGAGAAATTTCTCTTACCCGTGAATATCACTGCAAGTTCCTGATTCAAAAAGCGTTTTAAATACACCTTTTCTGTTGAGCAAATAGGAGTAATGATGCACCCAAACCCAGCAGTTTCAGGACTTGATAGATTGTGATGAGCAGCTATTTGATAGCCATTGTCTAATCTGTTCCAATAACACCCACTGTATAAAGCTGTGTACTCTGTTGCCTTTCCATCAAATAGTGTTTTATCTGTCATAAACCAGATAAATAAATTCCCCTTCACACCTGCAGATAATTTTATTCATCACCAACAGAAGTGTAGAACTATTGTAATGTTTTAAAGGTAATGTGTCCTATATTAGTGATCTTTTAGGTGAGTGCTGGAGCAAGGTATCCTGTGCAGTTTTAAAAGCTCCATCCTTCCACAGGTTGAAAGTCTTTGTTTTAATTAGTTTTCTATAGGATACAGAGGTGTTTAGCATCTACCATGGTTGGGTCCAGAATGCTTGAACAATCTCTTGCTATGGGCACCCTGCAGTGTCTGCCAAAGGGGCAGGTGACTGAACGACAGGAACACAGCACCATAAGCAGCAGCAGCACAACAAATTCTGGGTGGACTCACCTCTTTTGAATATGACAGAGCCATGCTGCCAGCTGGCTGCCCCTAGGGTGTCTACAGGAGGGATTAACAGTGAACGGGCTGAGCTCCTCCTCCACTAGTACTCTGCACTCCCTCTCTTTCACCCCTGCACAGGAACAGCAAGCCCAGTTTTCTTGGGTTCCTCTGCTGACAGCGAGACCACAGCCCATGGCTGGCTGGCAAAACCAGATGCTGTCTATGCTGCTGGGAAGGCTTGTGTTAGTATTCATATATCAAGTGTGAATGTAAGCATTTAGTGAAATTCTATCCCCTTCTTTTTCCAGTCCTTGATAGAGTTAACAAGAGCATTTGCTGGTACCTGTTTGCACTGCACTGCAGCAGAAACACAATACAGTTGGAGGAGGAGTGCTGTGGGGCGCACTTTGTGCCTGATTTGAAGTTTTAACATAAGCATAAAAAGAAACTGATTTCCAGTTAAAAGATCTTTTATATCTATACCTTGGCTATACTGTATTGCTGTACTTTTGTACAGAAATTGGAAGCATTTACATGAGTCCTGTATGGTTTTTTGGAAGAAACAGGCCTTTGGTTTGCTACTAGTAGTAATGAGTCACCTGCACATCCATGTATGTGCAAGGGTGTAAAAAAACTCTAAATATCACAGTCTTTGTTCTCCTAGCAAATATGTATTACTCAGTTTTAATTGTGAAAAGACAATGGAGTGCACTTTTGTGGCCCCAGTGTGTAGGTATATTTTGCCATTCTCTAGAACAGTAATACAGCAGCACAGCTGCTGAAGAGCTGTTGGAGAAATATAAACTGATCAAGACTACTGACACAGAGGACTTTAGTTAGATAATCTCTATATACCTTAGTTTACCTTTCTTGCAGGCAGGCCAGAAATACAGAGTTATTTAATAAAACATACTTTAACATTATGCAGATAATTTTTGGGCAAAAAAAAAGCCATCATGAAAACAGATTATACTTAGAAATTATCAGTTAGCAAAGGGCCAGCATAAAAATTAAATTAAAATAGCAGAAGTTAATGTGATTTCTCTAGCTTTAAGTACTAGATGACTGTCTTACTCTACAATGTAATATTTAACAGACCTGCCCATAAGAAAATGCTTCTGATCTTTGCAAACTGCACCTGTGGAGTAAGTACCATTTCATATACCTGGTTTGGTTTATTTCATTATTTTATTCAGGTTCTTCTTTCTATAGAATGTAAGTAGACAATTTTGAAACAAAAATCACTGCCTTTGTGTTTAATGCCGGTACTGGTATGTCTCGTTACAAGGACAAACAGATTTTCAAGAAACCCTTCATACACACACCCACCCCATGGCTCTTTCAGGAAGTGAAAAAGGGAGTTGGGTACTAAGTTCTATCCATTTAGCTCAAATTTGTTTCCATTTTTCAAGCTGGCATTCAACAAAGTGAAAGTTAATACTTTCATGAAACATTGCTTACAGGCAAAAATGACAGACTATGTGCCAGAGCTTGTATGTCATGGAACCCCTTGCAATGTCGCATAATTTTGTGCCATATCACTGGCTAGCAACTGGTTTTAAAATGAGGTAATAGCCTCAGGGAATCTTGCTTTATTGTAATATAGCAATTTTTGGCTTTGCCCAAGCTAGGAAAAGAGACAATAGCTTAGAAACTGAGTCATGTACAAAAAAGGTCTGCTCACAAGTTTGTGTTGGTATTCAAGAAGTGGAAGACAAAGAGTTCCTGTTGGAGACAATAGGGGCAATAACCCAAGAAGTAATTAGAATAGTAAGATCAGTTCAAGAGCTGTGAGAAATCCCTGAGGAGCAGGACACTTCAGCATGTCTCCAACAGGCTTGGAGAAACATGGCACAAATAAGCTTTTTAGGGAGTCTTTACATGAAAACTGAGAAAACAGAAGTCCTCATGCTAAGGAAGGTAGTTCAAGAAACAAAATGGACTGGGACAAAACTCACATGGGTATGGGATCACAGAAAATGAGGAACTGCATGTGTTTATGTGAAAGGTCATCGCCCTGCTCCATGGAAGAGATACTTAAACTGCAAGATGTAGGATGAGTCAACAAGAGGTAGAAAACGAAGTCATGGACCTACTGATAGTGGATCACAGTAACCTGACACTAACACACACAATTTTTAGGCTCAGCCTACCTTTGTACCATACTGTACAGGGTACCTTATTAATAAATCATCCCCATGTTTATATTAGTTAATGCAAAATACAATTTTGCTCTCAAGATGCTCTATGCAATTCACCAAAGCATTACAAACAGATTTTATCTTGTATCTAAAATACACATACAGTTAACTACAATAAAAGCACTGTTCAGAACACTATCTATTCCACAGGTACCAAATCTTTCTACAGCAAGTCCAGTGTTTTAATGCTTTTGATCTTTCTTTAAGGCTTCTTTAGAAAGAGGTAGCTTTCTAAGACCAAGTTCTGTAACATTCAGTGGCCTTCCAGTTAACTGAGGAGGTGTACTTTTGACAGTTACTAAGTGACCAGATCCAATCTGAAAAACAAAATACATTACATGACAGTCACGTTAGTATTTAAAATGAGAGTTAAATCATGAACTGTCTTTCAAAAACATTATTCATCTGGTAGAGATGCATGCTGAGGTTTCTGAGGTCTATTCAAGCTATCCTTTATGTGAAATTAACAAATTGTTCCCATCAGTACAAAGGAAAGGACAGAGTGGTTTTTCACCAGGTACCTTTATGTACTCTACTTTTCTGCCTTCATGTCTGATCTTATGAAAATGAAAAGCAAATCAAGCCTTTCTTACAATAGAAGTTTGTTGTGCAATGTTGTTTGGATTTGTATATAATATGATCCAGTTTTTGTCCTCAGCATTTCATTATACATTAATATTTCAAAGAAAAAAAAAGGAACAAACCCTATTTCTCTCAGAATGCAATTGCCTATAACTACTCCTTTAGGAAAACTTGAAGACTGAAAGGGACACACTACTCTCTATATTGGGTAAGTATATTCAGTATAAGGAATACATATTTTTATATATATGTGTGTATATATATATAAATCCCAGTGACACCTCTATCTTCTAAGCATGACCTACTAAACCAAACAATGCAACTCTTCAAGTGCCTGTGGCTCACATGTTTAATTACTTGACCTTGACTGGTCTGCAACAACCATCTTGGCCTAATTTTTCTCCCTCCCTATGAAGAGTGTTTAGCAGAGAAGAGAGAAGAAGATTGTTCCAAGAAAAAAATTGCCAGCCATATCTGTTATTTGTATTTCTTCTAAGCAATGTACCCAAGCAGATTTATTTGATGTTCTTGATGTGTTCCATTTCTTAACACACTTATTCTGCAAAATCCTTCTTTTTGTCTACAGTTGTTTATTGTTTATAAAACCATAAAATACTTTCTTCTTAAAACCTCCTCCACAAAAAAAAATGAATAGTCTTGGCTTGAGGTCCAAGTCTTTAAAATAGAATATAACAACATTTTTCTCTCTATTAACAATGTCCAGAATGCTCGTATCTAAATTTTTCAGAAACTTTCTGCAAAATATTGCTGATTAACTGTCTCACTGATACAGGCATGTAACTTATATCATTTTTTGAGGCCACTTCATCTTGCATTTATTAAAGTTTAGGGCAAAGATGATTTGATAAAAATCCTAGTCCAGCACTTTGAGACCATCCTCTGGCTTCCTATTAAGCACCTCCTTTCTTCATCACATCAAACATGAACTGCTTCTTTTCAGGATGCATCCCCCTTAGTTGCCATTACAGAGAGCCAATTACAGCTGTCATGCCAGAGAGCCCATGACAGTGGAATCTCTTGCCTTTGTGCAAGTTTTAAATCAACACCTCATGTTTTCATTTCTTTGTTTCTCCTCTCTTGTAAAAGTAACTTATAAGCAATCAAGAAGCTATCCCTCCCTTAAAATCCTCCTTAGCTGTGATGCTTACACAGAAGTCATCCAGGTAACTTAAAAGCAGTTACTGACTGGAGTGGTGATTCTCCCACATCTTACCCCAGGTTGTCAAAAATCAACATCGAAATATGCTGTTACACCCAAAAATGATTGTAACAATGGCTTTTATTTTCTTACACTTCAATGAACTGATAGAAATGAGGGGGGGGGGAAATTTCTGCAGATGCAAGGAGCTGGCTTATCTGCAGACAGTGAGGAACACATTTACTGACAAAGGACACCTCTACTGATGTATAAGAGATCAGGCAGATTCACCCAACAATTAATGAAGGAAGGCTTGACCTCATTAAGGTTTACGTGAAAGGCCATCCCTCAAGAGATACATGTCGAGTAGCATAGGACCATCTTGCCCAAACTTCTTATGAGGAATTTGTAGATCTGAATCTCATTCTGACCAACTACCTGTTGCCTGAGGATATATCACAAATGGAAGTTGTGCTTTGCAGGAGATACAGATTCTTTCTTACATATTTGGAGCTTGTCAGCATTATTGAAGAAAGAGTAAGCTGCAGCACATATACAGACAAAATAAACCCCAAAGCACTTATACGTCAATGAAAATAAGATAAAATAAAATTGGGGATTACTTAACTGTTGTACCGAGGCCTTTAATATCAGTAGAATAGACTACTTCATTTTGAGTCTTCAGTTTAGGTCTGGAAGCCTCTATTAATTTTTCCTGAAGCCTTTTTGCTTTCTAAAGATAGTCAGAAAAAATGTAAAATTGCTTTAATCCAAATGAATTGTGTCATTTGCACTTGTTAGAAAATATACAAATAAAACAACAAAATAAATGAGGTGATAATTCTATTGGCTTTTATTTGTAGGTACCCTCCCTCTGGTTTGTGAATCCCTCTTGTACTGAGCCCATGAAAACAGAATAAATGGACATGACTTTGCAAGGGTGAGAAAGGAATAATCACTTGCTATGACCTCTGAGCTAATTCTTTCTAATGTAGCCATATGTGCTGTTAGCCTTCATCACCACAAGAGCACACTGTTGCCTCATGTTCAGCTTGTCACCCCATACCTAGTACACATCCACATAGCCAGCTAGTCCCCAGGATGTATGTACCAATGCATGACAACCGTAGTACATCCCAGGTGCAGGACTTCACTTTTTTTTTTCATGAACTTCATGAACTTTTGATCAGCCCAGCCCTACAACTTGTCAAGGTCCTTCTGAACAGCAGCCCTGCCTCCCAGCATATGGAATGCTTCCTCCAGCTCAGACCCCTGCATGAATGTGATGAGGATGCAAGCTGATCCAATATCCAAGCCATTAATGAAAATGTTAAATAGTATTGACAGTATAATTGACTCTGTGGAATATCGCTCAAAACTGACTGCTAGTTAAACTTTAATTATTGACCACTGTCATTTGAGCCCATCAGTCCAGACAGTTTTTTATCCAATTTGTAGTCCACGGGTATGCAGTCCAGTCCTTATCTCCCCATTTTGGCTAGAAGAAGGATACACAAGACTGAGCTGAAAATCTTGCTAAAGCCAACAGAAGTAATATCCATCTTCTTCCTTCTCCAGAGCAAAGCATTTTATCACAAAAGGCAACCATGTTGTTAAGGCGTGATTTGTCCCTGGTAAATCCATGACAGCCATTACTAATTACCTTCTTGTCCCTTGCATACCTAAATTAGCTTCCCAGGGACTCAGTCAGAACTAACCAGTTCTCCAGACCCTTTTTCTGGCCCTTTTTTAATTTCTAATTCTAGCATAGATCTTTACTACAGGCCAGGAAGGCACTTGCACATGAAGAAAATTGTTCTCTTTTGCATTTGGAAATGAAGAAAAATTAAATTTAGCTGTCAAAGCATTTCTTTTAAGTCTGATTTAATTCATTCTCCAACTTAGTCTGATTGCCTAACAAGGACTCTAATAGTTTTTATGTTCTTTTGGAAAAGAGCAAATAGGGCTAAAAGAAACTCCTTTCATCATAAAGTGCTTCCTGTCTTGAAAGATGTTTGCTGGACTAAGAATAGGGAATGAAGTATTAGAAAAATTAAAGAAAAGTAAGAATGACCACAGTTTCAGTTTCCGCAGTTTCAGGACAAACATGTATACATACACACCCACACCACCCCCCCCCAATTACAAGTGCATAAACAATGTTGATCTCCACTTTGTGATGGCAATAGGAAGAGCAGAGGAAGCAAAGATTGCATCGCTTTGCCAATACATCTTACAGTTCATTCTTCTATGTCTGTGTGAATATAAAATTTACTCTTAACTTCTACTTGAATATTCTCGTAATTCATTAAGAAATGTGTCTGTAACTTCAAAATTATTATAACTATACTGTGAATGTATGTTTTGCTCCATCACTCATATTTCTTACCTTCAATGCCTCATAGTTGGATGTCCGAGTCAAGAAATTTTCCCAAGATTTATTTAGCATTTCTCTCTGCTTATGTATAGCTTTGATCTGTAACATAAATGAGATTTACAAGATGCAACACAATCCCCTTCTCACAAGCTTTTCTGAATCCTTTGACCTGTTTGAATATCATGTTCACCTATGCCTCTTTGGCTACCTTAGCTCATCCCTCTCACCTGACATTGGATGATAATGTTGTAGCAATGTACTTGTCCTTTAAAAAATTCACTTATGTACTGCCTTTATAAAAACAAAGGCTTACCTTCTCTGTGCAAACTAATTACCCCTTTTCCAACAGAGACATTGGAAGAGCCCCACCTCTTTCAGGATTACTTCCTGTATATTCTCACTTTCAAATGCTGAATAACAGAGATGGAATCACTTCTGGTGACAGAAGTGCAGGCATTATAATGCATGACCATCCTCAAAAACACTAACATGAGATTTTAGACAACTGGACCAACTGAACTTCTCAGAAAGCAGGAGAGGATGAGCAAAAATGCCAAATGCTTGCCTTAAAACCAAACCTGGAAAATGTCTGTTCCTGTTCACACTTAGCATGCCAGGAAGTACAAAGGCCTGCTTTCTAGAGTAATGAAACTCTGTGACTATTCAACCAAGGGATCATGTAACAAAGGCTTATGTTTCATTTTGAGAATCAAATGTAGTTGTAATAGGTACTTTAAATCATTATCTGGTACAGATGAACACAAGTGCAACTCTATAGTAGCATAATGGTCATTTCTCACCACAGTGTTGCTGATGCATCACTGATGATACTGCTTCATTTTTTCATGTTACTCTCTAAATAGTGGCAAAATTATACAAATTGGGAGAACTGAGTTTAATCTAATTTAATTTAAAGTTAAAATTTTGCTGCTGAGACAGATTAAAATATCTTCAAGCAGTGTATGGATCTGGGATTCTCAACATTATGTAATAATAAAATCTTCATATAAATTGACAAAAAAGCTTACACGGCCTTTACTCGTTTAAATACTCCTTGTCTTACCTTTTTATACGTTTTTTGTTCTTCTTGTATTTCTTGTTGGTGTTGACTTTCAAGCACTTCAGTCTGCAAAGCGGCAACCATTCTTCCAGTATCTTCTGATACCTCTGAAAGAACTTTCAGGGCTTCCTCATCTGACGCAATAGGCTTGAATTCTTCTTTTAGTTCTGCACAAATTTCACTCCAAACTTCTCCAACCTGTATGTGCAAAGCCCCACAGTAGTTGCTATTTATATCTTTTTTTTTTCACTTCCAGTTAGACTTCAGTAAGCTACATCAAATTAATTTATGATAACCCTCCCTAAGCCTTCCCAAGCCCAAGCTTGGCTCCACAGAGGAGTACCAGGAATGCTGACAACTACAGAAACTCAGAAGAAATACATATAGCTACAAGATACCACACTACGAGAGTGAAGTATTGTGTCCTGCTGGCTCGTTCTTAAAATCTCAAATTACACACATGATCAGATCAAACTGCAATGTGAGACATAAACACAGCTGGAATTATCAACTAAAGATCGAGTATTGCTAGTTCCTGAACACTTCAAGATCTCACATCCTTCTTTTCTAAGCAGAAAACTGTCATAAACTGAAGGATCTTTTGAGCAGGATGGCTCCCACAAAGCTTATTATCCTGTTCATTTTTCCTATAGGCACATCATTCTTGACTTTTGACAGTATGGATGGGTACTGCACGTGGGGACAAAGATGGGAAAGCACAGAAAAACCTTTATCAGAATGTTTATTTAAAGTAATTTTTAATAGTAAGCCACCACTCCCCTAAACTGACCTTACTGACAAAGAGGCAGTCCTACTCTCCAGCCCTTTCCTAATTTCTTGCTTCTGTTCTGGTGCATTCCTGTTTCTTGATTTGGCAAACAGGTAAATCTACTTTTCTCAGAGTTATTTTTAAGTAATGTTGGTTTCTAGTCTTATTTTCAAACGTGTAACAGTACAGAGGAAGAGTTTGAGAAGTGCTGCAATGACGGAGGTAGGGTTGTTTCTTTGGATGGTAAATACTGGCTTACTATGAAACTACAGGCGACTTGTGACATAGGTGATGTTGTATCTTCACATATACTTGCTATTTTTGAAAACACAGATGCAGTAGTAAGATCTTCCAACACAATACTTACTTTGAAGTCAATATAATGCTGTATGATAGCAAGTGTGACACGGTCTTTAGTCGATAACCCAGGTAAATTTTCAAAACCTAAAAGAAAATGAATCATGTCAGCATTAACAGCATCCTGAAATTATCTTAACATGTAACATTTAAAAAAAAACCCCACCCTGCTATTTGTCATATATCACATGCAAAACCTTCATCACATACACCAGTCACTCTTAAAATCCTGAGCAGACTTTTAGTGATAAACCCTGTTTTCTCCTTAATAAATTCTCTTTATACTGTCTTTACTTATGAGTGGCTCCAGTAACCTTCCAATCACATGGAAAGCCAGGATTTGCTATGCTTTCGTGAAAAGGGTTTGATCTTTCCTTAAAGCAGACAGTTGAGTCCAGAGGTCGGTTTCTAAAGAAGCAATTCAGCACAGTTCGCTTTAGCTGTGAAGCAGCCAAAAGGAGAATCATAGTACAGGATGTCCAGTATTTTGTTTCAAAGCTGTGTAATGGGGGTGTCCTCAATCTCAAAGACTTGAGTCTTGAGCATAATCCTTGAGAATGAGTCCATCTTTTAAAAAACACATTTACAATATATGTAAAAGAATAAGGTAGAAAGGTGTGGTTGTTGAGACTCTTTCTCTTTTTTGCATGATGAATGTTAATTATATTTGATGACAAAAAACCAAACCACATCTGTCAAATCTCATTCTAGACGCCATCATACCACCTGTGTGGTAACTGGGAATGTAGAATCTATCTATTAGACTATAATCACGCCATTTTTGAAGTTAAGAAATATCATAAATACAGATGAAATATCATAAATACAGACCAATTAACACTGCTTTTCCTGATCACCATGTTAAAGGCTGTTATGGAGCATCACTACAGTAAGAGGAAGATGCTGACAAAAGACTATAAAAATATTTCCTTTTCTTTTATTATCCACTCTCATGTAATTTCAGTACTTCAAAGGAGACATACAACTAACATGAGGTATGTGTGAACATAGGAGAAAGCTATAAGAAAATCTCATGCCTTTTTGCTTTAATAAAGAATTTAGCTGTGATCCGACATTTAACATAATTAACATTATAAAACTTAGTAAGAACCTGGTATACAACAGAGGAAGAACTAGCTATAGTTTATTAGAGAAACTAAAGGTGTTTTCAACACAGTTGGTTCTCTAGGTTACCGAGGGAACTGGCTGAAACAATCTCAGAACAATTACTGATCATCTCTGAATCTGTGGAGGATGGAGAGGAAAAAACAAACATAATGCCTATTTCTAAAAGAGGGAAAGGACAAGCCAGAGAATATTGGTTCAGTTCAGTTCATGAAAAAAGACTGAAACAGATGATTAAGCAAATAATGTTTATGCAGCTAAATGTAACAGTGAAAACATTTATATCCAACATGAATTAGTAAAAACTGCAATCTAGCTTTTTTCTATAGCCAGATAAGAGATCTTAAGGATTTTCAAGAGTTTATTGTGTATCTTGACTTCAATTTAAGTTTTTAGGCAATGGTGTAATGTGTATTAATTATTCAGTGTACAAAGAGCATAGAATTAGGAGTGACTGTGGCATTTTGAATGAAAAGATTAAAATGCAAATTAATTTTGCCAATGCAAAAAATGATCTAAACGTACAGAATTTAATCCAGTAAGGACAAATAAAAAATTCTAAATGTAAGAATAGTCATATGTACAAATCTAGGATGGTAGTTGACTGCACAAGATCCTAAATCAAATGAGCAAACAATATGCCACAATGAATACATCATTGTTATATTAATGTCAGAACGTTTATTTAAAAGTTGAGTTGAGTAATGTAGCTCTATGTGGCAGTGAGGCTTCTGTTGGAGTACTGTGTTCAGCTTTGGGACACTAGAGATCAAGAAAAATGTGAATCAATTGGAAAGACTCAACAAAAATAAAAACAAAACAGTGAAAATAATTAGAGGTACTGCTAGAAAATGAAATCAGTGAGTAACATCTTAATCTAGGGAAATAAAATGAAATGCAAAAGTGTTATGTGAAAGAGATATTGTGTGTGGGAAAGCAAATTACATAAAATTTCAAGCAAATTTTAGGTTTAATTCTAGGAAAACTCTTCCTAATGGTAGGGACAGCAAAGTATTGGGGAAGTTTTGAAATCCTCAGCAACCGGGACTTTTAAGAACAGGATGAGCAAACGTCAACAGTGTTAATGATGCTTCTCCAAGTTTCCTTTGACTTTTTTATAGTGACTTTATTGATTGCCAATGAACAAATTCAATTTAATGACAAATATGACGCTGAGAAGGCAATTCACTTGTCTTACCTAGCTTGCACAATAATGAATAAAGTTTTGCCTGTATGTTTTCTGAAATTTCCATGATGGCAAAGCTGGGACAGTTGGCAGGCAAGGGAATGACCTCTTGAGGTTTCTGGAAGCTGCTAGCAATAGGTCTCTTGATGTCTAATAATTTCAAAACACAAAACCAGAGGAGAAGAATGAAGAAGTAGTACGTTCTCAAAGCTATTAAAGAAAATGTTATCTATGCAATGAAGTATGAGGATCTTTTGCAGGCAGCTATGGACATACTCTTTTGTGTGATTTCTCCTCCAAAACACAGTTCAATCTTACTTTGTGGGCACTATGTAAATCATTTTGATAGTTTGGACACGAATTTGAACATAATTTGGGAAATATGAATTAGCATGACTAAAGTTTTGCAAGAACATAGCACTGTCCTTACTTCTTTTTATAGCATATAACAAAACACAATGCCTTTTGTGGAAAAAAATCAGTAGTTTAACTGTCCATTATTAGAAAAGCTGTTCAGGAGCTTTTCATACTTTGTGACAAAGCAACCATGGCTCTATTTATTACCTGGCTCATTCCCAGCCGATGTAGAAAATGCCATCTAGTGGCCAGGCTCTAGAAGGTATATTGTATTTGAGAAGAACCACAGCATAGAGCTATAAATATTATAATTTACTTTTATCAGAATTCAGACTACAAAAGGAAATACTGTCTTTGTTTTGCTTCATTCATTGGAACTGCTCACAGTTTGACATGCATCATAAAACTTACCAGCAATCCTTCCATAGCGATCACGTTTGATTCCTAGATCCAATTCCTCCTGTCTCCATAATTGTATTAGAAGGCTAGCTGCTGTTTGATCTTTCTCCCCTCGCCAGGTACTGATGTGTGAAGTGGTTTTAGGGTTGTCACAAAATTCAACCAAGATTCCAAGGATTATATTGCACAGGTTCTTTTGCTTTACCTTGATGAAGCGAAAAGGAAAAAAATGTTTTATACTGTTCAAAACACAGTGATGCCTACCTTCAAAAATAGAGAAATTGTATAATGTAATCAAGTAACCGCAAGCTTTTTATCACAACTGTTTGCACAAAACTTCTGTATAAACTTGTAAATCTGCCAAGTTTCTGGAATCCCGCCATGTAAAGTTCCATAAATCAGAGAACATTAGGGGAATAATGAAGGATCATGTAAGATGTGCATACCTGTATGTAGATACCTCCAGGCTCTACTGCTGGAGAATTTACTACCACCAAGATTTATTTTTATAAGAAACAGACACTGAAGGCAGTGGCTGAGCTGTACCACACGTCACCTGTTCTATTCTGTGGCCAGAACTTTTAGCAGCAGCTGAGAGTAGGGAAAGGTCTACAGCCTTGTACTTCGAGGGCATGAGGCAGGCAGCACAGCCAGTGAGAATGAGGAGGGAATGAAACAAGGAAGGTGCATGCTGGTTTTGTAAGATGTGAAATGCTTTTGCCGGCATTATGTCCAAGACCTCGATCAATTACTGAGGTGAGTACCTTGAGAGAGGACGCCTTCAACACCGGAGAAGGGGGAAGATCAGCATCCAGGAGCCTCAACTCAGAGCAGCAAGAGCCACTGAGGGAACCTCAAGTACTCAAGGAACTTGCCCAGGAGCCAGCAGCTCAGCTGACGCAAGCAGGGACCCACAGGGGGCGGAGCCAGGAGGAGTGGCACCAGTTTGTAACCTAACTGGTTTCAAACCTGCCCCAGGGAGTGTGAGCAAGAGAGCACACACTGGCCTCTTCAGGAATCTGCTTAGTAAGGTTCCATGGGATATAGCCCTGGAGGGCAGGGGGGCTCAAGATTCTTGGTTGGTCTTCAAGGATCACCTGCTACAAGCTCAGGAGTGTTGCATCCCAACCAGAAGCAAGCGCAGCAGGAGGGCCTGGAGACCTCCTTAGAGGTATAAGGAACTGCTGAGGAAAATTCAAATGAAAAAAGAGGCTTATAAAAGGTGGAAGCAAGGACAGGCGGCCTGGGAAGAGTACAGGGATGTTGTCTGGGAAGCTAGGGACCAGGTTAGGAAAACTAAGACCCAGTTAGAATTAAACGTGGCTAGGGATGTTAAGGATAACAGGAAGGGATTCTATAGGTACGTAGGAAATAAAAAACAGACTAGGGACAATGTAGGCCCCCTCCGGAAGCTGTCACGAAAACTGGCTACACAGGATTTGGAGAAGGCTGAGGTTCTGAATGACTTCTTTGCCTCGGTCTTTACTGGCAAAGGCTCTGACCACACCACCCAAGTCTTGGAAGGCAGATGCAGGGACTGTGAGAAGGAAGACCTTGGACCCCCTGGAGAAGAGGATCTGGTTCAAGACCATCTTAAGAACCTGAACCTACAGAAGTCCATGGGACCTGATGAAATCCGTCCACAGGTCCTGAAGGAGATGGTGAATGAAGTTGCTAAGCCACTGGCCATTATATTTGAAAAATCATGGCAGTCAGGTGAAGTTCCTGATGACTGGAAATAAGGAAATATAACCCCCATTTTCAAGAAGGGGAAAATGAGTGACCCAGGGAATTATAGAGCAGTCAGTCTCACCTCTGTGCCTGGCAAAATCTTGGAGGAGTTTCTCCTGGAGGGCATGCTAAAGCAAATGAAAAACAAGGTGCTTGGTGACAGCCAGCATGGCTTCACTAAGGGGAAATCCTGCCTGACCTATTTGGTGGCCTTCTATGATGGGGCTACAGAAGTGATGGACAGGGGTAGAGCAGTTGATGTCATCTACCTGGACTTGTGCAAAGCATTCAACATGGTCCAAATGACATCCTTGTCTCTAAATTGCAGAGACATCAGTTTGATAGGTGGACCAATCGGTGGATAAAGAACTGGCTGGATGGCCTCACGCAAAGAGTTATGGTCAATGGCTCAATGTCTAGCTGGAGACCTGTAATGAATGGTGTCCCTCAGGGATCGGTGTTGGGACCAGTCTTGTTCAACATCTTTGTCGGTTACAGGGACAGTGGGATTGAGTGCACCCTCAGCAAATTTGCCGATGGCACCAAGCTGTGTGTTTCGGTTGATATGCTGGAGGGAAGGAATGCCATCCAGAGGGACCTTGACATGCTTCTGAGGTGGGCTGATACCAACCTCATGAAGTTTAACCATGCCAATTGCAAGGTCCTACACCTGGTTTAGAGCAATCCCAGGCACAGCTACAGGTTGGGCAAAGAAGTGGTTCAGAGCAGCCCTGCAGAGAATGACTTGGGGGTGCTGGTCGATGAGAAAATGAACATGAGCCGGCTTCAGTGTGCGCTTGCAGACCAGAAAGCCAACCGTATCCTGGGCTGCATCAAAAGGAGTGTGACCAGCAGGTCGAAGGAGGTGATCCTGCCCCTTTATTCTGCTCTCGTGAGACCTCACTTGGAGTATTGTGCGCAGTTCTGGTGTCCTCAACATAAAAAGGACATAGAACTGTTGGAACATGTCCACAGGAGGGCTACGAGGATGATCAAGGGGACTGGAGCACCTCCTGTATGAAGATAGGCTGGGAAAGTTGGGGCTGTTCAGCCTGGAGAAGGCTACGTGGAGACCTCATAGCAGCCTTCCAGTATCTGAAGGGGGCCTATAGGGGTGTTGGGGGTGGACTATTCATTAGGGACTGTAGTGACAGGACAAGGGGTAATGGGTTAAAACAGGGAAGTCTAGATCGGACATAAGGAAGAAATTATCTCCTGTTAGGGTGGTGAGGCACTGGAATGGGTTGCCCAAGGAAGTTGTGAATGCTCCAACCCTGGCAATGTTCAAGGCCAGGTTGGACGAGGCCTTGGGTGATATGGTTTAGAGCGAGGTGTCCTTGCCCATGGCAGGGGGGTTGGAACTAGATGATCATAAGTTCCTTTCCAATCCTAACTATTCTATGATTCTATACAGACAAGATACATGTACAAAGTAACCTTAAACATCAAAACTTTTAAAGCCTTCAAATATATGCTAACTCTGCTCTTACTAACTTCAATATGAAGTAAGAAGTGAGGTGCTCTCCTAAACAGAGCTGTCATCCAAAGTAAGAGCATAGCTTTTCTTTTTAAAAAGAGTAAATTCTTGTTAAATTTAAAGCCCCTTCTGCTGAATTCTTATTAACATGGGAAATCCATGCAGTCATTTCTGGGGAGTTACCCTGGTTTATGATCACCTTCCTATCTCACAGAATTACATGTATTGATCTTTTTGTTAGTATTATAATTGTTTTAGGAGATACTGTAGCAAAATAATTCAACTTTCCATGTTGTTTTACTACTCTTCCATTCTGTAAAAAAAATAATCAAAATACTTACTGCCAACAAATCCAGAAGGAGAAAAATACCCTGTTTTTGAAGAAAATAATCCTCTGCAATGTAACATCCAAGGACACAGGACCTTAAACAGAAATAATTTCAGTGTGTAGAAAGATTTTTATACTTCAGAATATTTTACAAACATCTAATCTACTTTATGGAATTGCACAAATTCGTTTGCTATACAATGCGCTTCATACCTTCAGGGAGTCAAAAAATCATGTTTCACATGCCTTTTCATTTACAGCATGTAACTAAACATACCCTACTTGACTGCTCTTTCTTCTCTTGCAGGTGGCACATTTTCCTTGTAGCAGCCCAAGAAATTTGGCAGGCTGACAATGAATTGGATTAGAATATGGATTTGAACTAAAACTAACTCAGCAGAAGAGGCTAAAATTTAGCTAGATCATGTCACTGATCTGGCTTACTGCAAGACTCTGAATTTTCTGCCAGCAGAATCAAGGGGTGAGACAAGCAAGACTGTTTTGGTGGGGTTTTTTAGCAACAGTATTTGCTTCTCCCAGCTTTCATGTTACTATTCATGTTACTATTGCTTCATTCTCTTATTTCCTCACTTATGGTCATTAACAGAGAAACAAGGAATCTCCTGCATTAGTATTTTCTGCCAGGCAAACATACCTTTTGGCTTTCAATGTATTTATCAATCTCTGTCTTAAAGCAAATTAACTTTTGGTTATCCTCCTGTGTATTGACATTCTCTGATAACAACCTTTAAAATATTTCTAGCCCCATAGAGCAAGTTTACAACCACTTCTTATGCTTCCGCAGTTTTTAGCTAATAATGGTCTATTCTTGCCTTCTGTTTATTTCTCTGAAGGTATTTACAGATCCCAACCATATACCTCTTTTAGAAAGTCCTAGGTGATTCCACATGTCAGGAGGTCACACTGTGTGGGGAGTTAAGACTGCTGTGTAGGGAGTTAAGTTGTCATACTGATCCCCTATTTAATAGAAGAGAATATATGCAGAATATTCCTTTTTTTGTTTGTTTTTTTTTTTAATCCTTTTTATTGAGTCAAATTGAATGAAGGATTTTTATACTTTGCAAATAGAAGAAAAGCCTATATTTGCAGGGAAAACCCATCCTATTGCAGACCTAAAAATACATGACTTGTCATTTTTAATAGTTACTGCTGCTAAAATACTTTACCAACCACAAGCAGTCGAGTGCACTTAAAAGGAGAAAACTGTGGCCTAATCCACTACATAACTTCTTTGGATCCATCTGAATGAATGGGATAAGTATATCCACTCCTTCATAGCTGAAGAATTCGTGCTGAAACATTAATTAAAGCAACATGTTTCTTAAATAATATTTACTAAATAGCTGCATATAAAAAATACAAAGAAAATTGCAAAAATGAAATATTTATAACGTAATAAATTCGGTGCACTTGCAAGAGCAAGATAATCCCTTACAATATACATAAGAAAAAGAGATTTTCAGTTTTTCTGAACTGCTAATCTCATTTGTTAACACTTTCATATATTAATTTCAAAATTATGTAAATTAGTAATTGAATAGGTGAGGCACTTCCTAGTGGATTTCTGAGTGATTTTGAATCTTAACCGTCACAAAACCCAATTATCAGACCTGACTGGGTAGTGATGAACTGTCATTGACATCTGCTTTTGAATAATTAATAATAATAATAATAGAAACACTATACTTCAAATTAAAATATACCCTGCTTTATTGTTTTTTTTTCACAGTGTGAGGCAGAAAGTTACATACCTTTCTGAGGAGATCGTTTTTACAGACAACAGACAAAATAAATAATGTATCAGCTTGGATTTCCAGTAGAACGGCATCTTCTTTCTCTTTAGATTTGTTTACTGCATACTTTAGGATGTCTGTAAGTGAATATATTTTATACACGTGAATGTCCTATATACGAGTTAGAATTCTATAATAGCTGCTGACAAGGAACTAAAAATCAAATTTACACCAAGAGATTTTTAAAGGAATCTACTTATGCAGTTCAGTTTTATCTTCTGTGTTTTGTACTAGCTTACGGAAGTGCAGCACTCTGATGCTGTAGTTTCGTGGGATTTACTCTTGGTGACAGAGTAAATGATAGTAGATGACAGTAGCTTGCACAGACTTCTTTGTTCAGACTCTGTGCTGCCCTGTGTATTTTGCCAGTGCAATGAATTCAGGGAACTGAACTGAATTAGGGAACTCTTAGGAAAAGGCAATGAACTTACTGATTTGCTCGACTGTACAGCCTCACTAACACTTGCACTGACAGTGCAAATGTGGGAGGCATAAAACACCACCACTGTTAAAAAAATCAGCCTTGGAACCACTATGTGAAAGAGGACATTCAAACAAAGAAGTCCCCCAAATTAAGAAAAGTTACTTAAATCTAACATGTAAGGAATAGCATTAATTTTGCTCTCACTAAAATCTGTCTTCACTGGAGTTCAACTTTCAACTGAGGATATAAAATCTGTTCTTTCTAGGCTTTCTATCAGAACAGACTTTTCGAATTCCAAAGGATCTTACCTGTTTTGTTTCTTTCAATATAACTCTTTCAGAGTATTGAAAACTTACTTATTATTGTAAGAAGAGAACTTAAACCTGTTTGTATTGGAACTTAAAACCAAATTTAACAATAGGTATGTGTTACTGAACAAGAAAATGGTCTAAATTTGCAGGAGCAGTGGTTAAGCAGTTTTATTCTACTTTTATTCACTCATAATATTATTCATATAGAAGTATATTATCAATTTTCTTCTATTTAAAGAGGAGTTATGAAAAGTGATACCATTCCCTCAGCAAGTTTGCCAATGATACCAAGCTATGTGGTTTAGTCAACATACTGGAGGGAAGGGATGGGATCCAGAGGGACCTTGACATGATTGAGAGGTGGGACAATGCTGACCTTATGAAGTTCAACAAAGCGAAGTGCAGGGACCTACACCTGGGTCATGGCAATTCCATGCACAGATACAAGGTTAGGCAGAGAAGAGATTCAGAGCAGCCCTGAGGAGAAGGACTTGGGGGTGTTGGTCAATGAGAAACTTAACATGAGCCAGCTTCAGTGTGTGCTCACAGCCGAGAGACAAACCATATCCTGGGCTGCATCAAAAGGAGCGTGACCAGCAGGTCGAGGGAGGTGATCCTGCCCCTCTACTTGGAGTATTGTGTACAGTTCTGGTGTTCTCAACATAAGAAGGACATGGAGCTGCTGGAACAAGTCCAGAGGAGGGACATGAGGAAGATCAGGGGTCTGGAGCACCTCCTGCATGAAGGCAGGCTGAGAAAGCTGGGGCTGTTCAGCCTGGAGAAGAGAAGGCTGTGTGGACACCTCATAGCAGCCTTCCAGTATGTGAAGGGGGCCTGTAGGGATGCCAGAGGGGGACTATTCATTAGGGACTGTAGTGACAGGACAAGGGGTAATGGGTTCAAACTTAAACAGGGTAAGTTTAGATTGGGTATAAGAATGAAGCTCTTTCGTGTTAGGGTGGTGAGGCACTGGAACAGGTTTCCCACTGAAGTGGTGAATACTCCATCCCTGGCAGTGTTCAAGGCCATGCTGGACAGGGCCTTGGGCAACCTGGTCTGGTGTGGGGCGTCCCTGCCCATGGCAGGAGGGTTGTAACTAGATGATCTTAAGTTCCTTTCCAGCCCAAACCATTCTATGATTCTAGGATTCTATAATAGATAGAACAAGACTCATGGCTAAAGTTTCTAGGAACTATCAGAATGAAAACAAGATGTAACAAATGCAGTATAATAAAGAGAGAAGGGGCAGCTTTCACTCTGAAATTAAATACCTAGGTTTTTACAGCTGTCTGGTTTATTTGTTTAATTCACTCAATTATCAAAATCCAATCAGAGATTTTTAAGTTTTTCAGCAGTCAGAGCAGTAACACATAAAACCAGAACACACAAATTATCATGAACATTCTTAGTGTTAACAGAAATGTCCTAATATAAGTACAGCAATAAAAATTTTGCTTTACCCAGTAGCTGGCCAATTGCTCCCTGGTCACACAAATTAAGGTTCACAGCATCATCCTGAAGAGCCACAACAGACCTCAGCACTCTCAGGCTGTACCGCATTTGTGCAAGTTTGTTGCCACGACCACTTGTTCCATGGAAACTGTTACCTTGACCAAAGAAAGCATCTGTGGAGCAATTACAATACATACTTTGTTTTATTCTTTTGGCAGGCAGTGTATGTTCAGAAAAATAATGTGCTCAGAAAAAAAACCCAACCCAAACCCCAGCTTATTAGTGTAGCTTAAACACCAAACAAAATTGCTTTGTGTTAGAAAGGCTTCTTGTTCAAAACTACCTAGTAATAAGCCTTTTTGTACAAGGCTACACTTATTAGATTTGTAAGAAAGGTATGATTTTGATGAGCATTTAAAATTATTAGAATTTTTTTTAACCTTACTAGGTTAATGAGCAGTCTACAAAACTCAAAATATTTTTTCTAGCATGACATACAATATCAGCCTTTTGATCTCTATTAGGCCCAAATGAAAAATTCTAGAAAAACGTATTACATTTTATGAAGGAAACTATCCATCCCCAGAAAACCAGGCAATGAAACTGGGTGCATTTGGTTGTCTTTTTGTTTAGCCCATACTCTTAGCTGATGGCCACAAGCCAGCTTCAGTCTGCGAACTATCTCACTGTGTACAGCTCTTCAATTTCAGTTAATGTGTCCTGCCTCATGGCAGGAATTACTGGTTGGACTTGTTGCCACAATAATTGTATCTGACTAGCTTAAAACCCAGGCAGTAGAGATGTGTGGCTGCCCACACAAATGAAGGAATGCCAATATAGTGGTACACAGGGAACAGGGCACCAGCTTACCCTTCAGTACAAAAACCAAATATGCTGCTTGTTTTTTTTTTTTTCTTAAGAAAGATTACTTTCCTAAGTGACCTATTGAAAAAGAATCATTTTGACTTCATGAGTTTTGCATTTTTCCTTCCTGTCAAAGAAACTAAGTTCACTTGAGTTTTGTTTCGAGATTACTGTGGATGAAGGTTATAAGCATGTACTTACCTTGGCCTATACACCATTCTAGAAACACAAGGAGAAGAGTATTTGCTTGGCAGGACAAATATTTATCTATTAACAAGGGAGCCACAGAAGCTAAAATAGCAATTGCATGAAGCTGTAATTCTTCATACTGAGCAGCAGACCATTCATAAAATCCAGGCTTTTGATTTGGTTTTACATAATAAAGCAAAGCTGGCATAACATCATTTTCACTGAGAAGCTGCAGAGTCAAGACAAAGAGAGACAGAATACAGGTTTCACATGCAAGTAAAAACAATCTAAAGCAATGAGTCAATTTTATCTGTCATACACTAAGAAAATCATTTTTTATTGAGAAAGTATACCATGAAGGCTACAAGTACAGACAAGCTCTGCTTATATTTGGTAGCATTCCCACAGACTGTGCTTTGTTAAACATTATTACATCCTTCACATAGATTTCAATAATGCTTGGCAGTCACTTGTCAGCTAGTTTTCCTGGTCTGGGTTTGTAACTTTTCTAAAATAGAAACTCTATGCTTCTTTCAAACAGCAGTACTTGTTCCAAAACTGTGTATAAATTATTGATTTGGAGAACAGCTGATTTAAGTCTACTGCATTATAATATTCCTGTGATTCTTTTGAATTCTATTTATTTTTTTTTCCTTTTTGCTTACTATATCTTCTGTTCTGTTACAACTTACCTGTACAGCACGTGGGTCTTTAGATAAGACTCCTATTACATGAAATAGCAATTTCTTCATCTCAAAGTCCTCATAACAGCGGGTAAGTTTAAGACCTTTCACCAAGGGATTGGGAATTTTAACTATGAAGGAAATTGTACATAAGTTACAAAAAACACATGATTAAAAGTAAAAATAGTGTACTTATACAGTACGAAATCTCTTACCTTCAGTAAACGTTGCAAGGGATATTAACAGCTTTGCAAATCCACTTTCCTATAGGTATTAAAAAACATACATTAACTAAATTCAATTGCAGTGAAATCAAGACTTATGATTTAATTTTAGGTTTTGTGTTTTGTTTTGTTTTGTTTTTTCCCAGAACAGAGTTTAATGTATCCTATAGCAGAATAAAGAGAATTTGATCAAAGAAGATAAACAATTTGGGCGTTGTACAATGCTAACTACAGTCCTAAGGGTACAATTAGTGAAATCGTTGTCTCATTCAGTACAAGTCTGAACTTCTATCTATGGGGAAATCCCAAAAACCTTTATTCACTACTATACACCACACAAGAAGACTATGTTCTCACTACTGTTAGGATTGTGGATTTCAAAATGTGTAAGTTTGTACAAAAGGATCATCAGTACATACAATTTTGTGCCTTCAAGTTGTGCATACACTTGCATTTAACTGGAGTGCGTTTACAAGTAAGCATTTAACTGCAGTGTGTTTACAAGTAAGCACATGAAAACTGCATGTATGAACAACATGCACTTACAAATATTACTTATAAGGAATAAAAAGAAAATAACACACATATATATATATATATCTCCTACAAAGCTAACAGGACAATTATGTCAGATATAACTATGGATAGGGCCAAGGCCAGTGGAAGTTTATGCAGTACAGTTTAGGCAACAGAGCTTTGTTTCTGAGGTGATCAGAAGCCATGGTTACTGGTACATTATTCTTCTTGAGCAATAGAATACATTAACTTGGCCTCAGTACTCTGGTAAAGCCAACACAGAGACTTCCACCAGCTCCCAACAGGAGCAGAGCTCACAGAACACTACACAGGTATCCCCACAGAATCAAGTGGTTCTATTAGTTTTGCAGCAGCTGGGCTCAGATTTGTTCAGCCTAGTTCTGGAGGTTAGCACACACATGATCTGAACAATCAGAAAAGTAATTTTAAAGAAAATATTGAAGTACACAACTATATTGCCTATTAGGTTTTGTCTCTATGGTATCTCTATTATCCGTACAAAGCCATTGCAAAATGGTTAAATAAGAAAACATCAAAACTTCTTAATGTTTTCTCCTTGCTGATTAATGCAGTAATAAATTCTAATGGAAACAGTAAGCCATTACCAAACAGCCAGTTTTGTTCTAACACAGAGATGACTAATACCATTGTAAGCTTTATTTTACATATAATTTTCAATTTACTTGTGATGAGAAAATTATTTTCCTTTTCAAATGCGCACATTCCTGTGCTGATTTCTGAATTATGTGAAATGCAAGACTGATTTTCTCAAGTTGTTTAGATAAGAAGAAAAAAATATAACATTCTGATGATGATTTCTCTGGTATTATCTACAAGGCAGGATACAACGGTAATGTTAATGTTTCTGTCTACCTACTACTTATACCCAGTACCTTGTAAAATCTCTAGAGAGGCTGAGAATACAGAATCTACAGTACGATATTTTCCTTTTTTTTCCTCACATTGGAACTATTTTTCTTCCCTGTAGTATAAGGCATTAAAAATATGTGTCTTGGTTATTTATCTTGTAGGAAAAAGCCATGTTTCTACAGACAGATAAACAATTTGAATCTTTTAGACATCAAGTATGTTGCTGTGATGGTATAACAGACATTTCATAATGGTTAGTAATAAAATGGAAAACTTGAATGAAAAAATCTGTAATCTTCATTAGAGACAATAAAATCTATTTAGTAATACAGCCATTGGGAAACTGACTCAAGTTGAGAAATCAATTCCTTGAAAGCAATCCATTCCTAAATAGTGAAAAAATCTACAGGAATTTGATTGCTTATTTATTCAGTACATATGTCAAGGCTTCATTAAAGTTCTAAATCTCAACTGTAAAACAAGAGAGTAGAAGAGTATTAACATCCATAAAAAGTTCACTTCTCTGTAGGCTTCTCTTAAATATTCTGGAATATTACAGAAGAACGAAGTCACCTACTTGCTAGGCATGCAACCCTAGTGAATTCTGGACTACATATATGTAGCATAGTCTCAAAAAGAGTTTACATGCCTCTTATTAACTGGATCTAGGTTATTATTTTCTCAACATCCTATTTAAAGCTTCTGAGCAAACCTTCTTGTTCCTGGTTATGAGGCACAGATACTTCAGCTGAATTTGAGCCATCTGAATATAGCCTGTACTCCTACATTTTCAAGCAACAAATGAGATTTAGTGCAAAACTCATTGTAACAGAATGGCACATCTGAGAAGCTGTACAAGAATACAAGACTTAACATTAAGTTTTGCACATAAATAGTGTTACTGTAATTTTCTAGGTATTAAATAAAGTTGCTGCTAGTACTCCAGCCAGTGATCTGCAGACCTGAAACCTCTCTGAGGTAGAGGGAATGGCAGAAAAAAAAAAAAAAAGGGGAATCTGAGAAAAAGGAAAGCACTAGAGACAGAGTAGAACCCTAATGGGGAAAAATACTTGATTATATAATAGTAAACCAGAAGTTATTTGTCTCTGGAATATATCTATAAATACTTACAAGCATAGGTACTGCAGGATTTTCAGCTAGTAACGTGGCAAACACCAAGAGGTCATTCCGTAGCTGCCGATCATAATGACGGAAACCATGCATAAGAAGGTCTTCAAATACTTCTTTCAAAGTACTTAAAAGAAAGTGAAATGCATTTTACCTTTTCTTTTCATATTCTATATTTGCGGAACTCGGTATATGAATTCTCATGCAGCATTATACTTTTCATAGCCTTAGAGTTTAAGTGCAAGAGAAATAACTTAAAATGTGATTATGAATGGATTCCTATGTATACCACTTGACATCCATTTTAAGCATATACACAAGATGCATATATTATAAATGCACACTGTATGCACACAGTAACACACTGTGTTATAATTTACTCAAGCATGGAACTGGATGTTCTTGAATTATTATTGAGAAGAAATGGTCTAATCCTAAGTAGTTAAAATAGTGTAACTCACTAAGGAAAAACCTGCTACTTGTTCCAGCAGATTATCTAGAACTAAGCCTTGTATATCATAGCACAGAATTTTCTACTAAGTTATAACACAAGCATTTCAACTGTGCATGGCCTACTGAGTCTAATGTGTAAGTTTGAAAATGGTGCAATTAACTTTTTCATCACACAAAACAATTGATAGGGCTCTACCTCCTACACTACGCAGCAGAGCACCTTGATCTTCCTCTTGCCCTGTAGCAGAATCAAATGGTGGCGGATTGCTGTGTTGATGAAATAAAGAGAGGCTTGACAATGAAATAGTTTTGATGTAGACCGTATGTGCTTTTAGCTGGACCCCAGCCACTGAGTTTGTAAGCTACCTGGCAGGCACCTCTTGGGTCATATATCATTTCCTGGCATTTCACAGGCCACAGTGCTGCCTAATGTGCTGAAACAGAAACAGGTGCCTGAAGGGTCTAAATTATGGGCTGCTTGTCTATGAGGTCTCAATCAGCACTGCTGCCACTTTGGAGAATCAGACATGTTAATACTGCAAACTTAATGAGATTTAATGAGAGCCCTCCATTCCCTGTTTGTATTTTCTCTCGATTCATTTCAAACAAAATGCTACACAATAGCAAGGCTTTAGATGTCTCCAAAATACAATATAAATTAATAAAATGCTTCCCTGTACTTACTGTACACATTCCAAGCTACTGAGCTGATTACAGACTTCTTCTTTTGAGGTATTTTCTATCAGGTTCCATAGGATTTCTGAGGAGCGAAACACCAGCTGCCCTGAGGGATCATCACCGTTTAGATACAAACAGAGTTTGCTGGCTGCTCGGGCCTTCAGCATAAGCCTGCAATTTACTCCTAAAATTATGAAAATAAGAATAAGTAATTCCCTTTAGTGTTTTTATTCCCTGTAAGTGTTTTAGGCATGTTCAGGGAACAAATGATCTAAGTTCAGAGGTAATGAGATTGCTGAAAGAACACTGTACTAACCAGAGCTGGACAGATGCTGGAGAGCTTTAAGTACCCACAACTTCTCAATAAGTTGACTTTCAACTACTGCTAGTGACAAAACGAGAGTTTCTGCTAATCCTCCTAATTCAGCCATCTGAATTTTATAGTTTGCACTTGTTGGCTGGCAACCTGCACATACAATAGCTTTAGTTAAAATGCAGAAAATATTCAAAGCTTTGGTTACTTCATAAAACATTCATCCTATTCATCCCTTCTCAAGAAAGGATTAAGAACCAAGTATCATATTTCCTTAGTCCTAAAATAATTTGAAAAAAAAAAATCTAACAAACAATAAGAGCTGCTTTTCTTATATCTGCATATTAAAAGTGCCTAAAGCATATCCAACACTCACCCTCAAAAAAGACTAAAATGATATGCAAATAAATAAATTGTTTCCTAGAATTTACAGACTGAAAGAACAAGTGGGGTTATAGACACCTAAAAAAACTTCTTTGGGTCATGCAATAAGTTGTTGGTGCAGAACTTTATTCTCTTCTGTAGCATATTCACTAGAGAATTAATGCCTTCTATAATTGTATTAGTTATAATATGTGAATCCAACCTTTGATTTATAAGCTTGACTTTCTAATATGTACCTATTTTTTACTTTTGTCATTGCATATACAAATCTATATTTCATTACTGAATTACTAGGGAAGGAGAAGCATTGAGAAAAGAAATTTTATGTATATATTCTAACTCATGAAAGTGAAGTTTCTCTTAGATTTCTAAAAATATACACATCAAATGATATGAAATGCAGAACTGATAAATGCAGATAATGCACATAGTGAAACAAGTTTTAACTAAGCATAAACTCTGATAGGCTCTAAGTTCATATTACTTTATAGGTAAAAGAACTCAGAAGATCAAACTTTGTCAAGATTTATACATATGCTTAGAGATGAAGATTTTCACTTAAAAAATCAGACTGAACTACATTCTTAATTTTTGTGATAACATCTTATTTCCTATATCTGAAAGAGAGTAACAAAATCTGTCAATATTTAACATTCACTTATCTCAATGGAAGTATTTACAAACATACAACCAACCGCACTCATAGCTGCTATTAGAATTTGAGTCTTGTTTGTAAGGTAAACCCAGATTTATATACTTTCCTATTTCTAGTCTCCTGTGAGGGCTGTAGCAGCTGCAGCTTCTTCAGGCCTCCTAAAATAAATTAAAACTAGCAAGAGGGCACAGGAACTAGTGCCACACTCTAGGAACACAGCAAGGGAGCATAGCATCCAACATACTCCTGCGTGGGATCCTCACTGTAACAATGGTTATCTGTAGCTAGTTGCTATAAATCTAGTGCTGTCTCACAGCGTGTGATACCATGGCTCTCCAGGAGGGGATCCATGATTAATTTTGCCTGATAACAGCCTCTGGCACCATCACAAGGGTCAAAGGAATAAGCAGTAGTGTATTCTGATGACAGTTTGAATGCCTATCCTTGGTACCACAGGATCATGCTTGAGCTCATACGCAGGCATCATCAGCCTCTTTCTGCAGAGACAACTCAAACAATCTATTCAAAGCCTATACTCAAATGTGTCCATATATATGAACTCAATCACATTTAGATGGACTCAGATCTATCCCTCAAAAGCAACACAAATGAAAGCAGAGCTGCTTCTCTCCAGCCTACATAACCAAAGTTGAAAATTAAATTTCCCTTGTTATAATTCTGATGCCAACTATTATTTCTTCCTCCATTGTCCACATTTCATCGAACTTGTGAAAACTTCACGTTTTCTGGATACTATGTAATCCTAATCCCCTAAATCCAATAAATAATTCCTTGTACATTGATGAACTAATTTCAGATTTTGAGTATGCCTTTCTATAAAAGTGCTAACTGCACATTTTCCAGTGCTGTATATTGAATGCATGAGATACAGGAACTATAGTTACAAAGAAAAATGAATCCACAGTTAATTAAAAGAGCCATTTCAAAGTAGCTGGGATCACATACACTTGATTTCCTGTGACACTTGAAAATACTGTGCTTTACCTGAAAGTAGTTTTCTTGGTGGCTCCGTATTATAAAAGCTAATAACACACTTACAGATTTGTATTCTAACTTCAGAGCTTGGAATCCTCATCAAATAACCTGTCAGAAACAGAAAAAAAAGGAATTTACAAAGTTTAGAATTGTTTTAGAAAGTAATCTTAGCACTTCTATTTACAGTATCTAGTATTTCTTTTGGTCATACCCCTACAAATCTGTCATTTTGTGCAAAGTTTAATTATAAAATACTCAACGGACAGGAACTCCTACACCAAAGGGGACAAAGGGATCTTGGAGGAGTAGCATAAGGTTAATCAAAAAGTGATCTCCTCTGCTTTATGGCTACAGACCCTTCTAAGAAACTGGATGTTATTCCAAAAGTTGTGGAATTCAGAAGAAAGCTACTACACTAGGCTGTTGTAATCATGATGAAGTCAGCAGCTCTTCTTCTAGCAGATATAGTGTGACATAAAGGGAGCACAAAAAGAGATCCTTTTCCACAAGATACAGAAAATTCCATTGAAAGCTACCAGCTATCCGTGCCTAACATGGATAATATAAACAATCTTTCAGATTTGACAGTCTTTTTGGACATTGTACCCTCAAGAGAACCTGAAACTATCTGAACTACCTGGAACAACTTTATGAAACCAGGAGGCCATTCTTCTATCTACTTGGACCTGTGAAAATAGACTTCAAAAAATATTTTTTCTCCCCCCATTCAAGGACATATATGTTTTATTTTCATGTCTGACAGGCTGACTGTGCTACCTCTTTACCATTTAAATCTTACCACTAAATGCGCTGATATCACTCCTACTCTATTCTAAATCCTTTTTGACCTACAGCACTTGAAGTATTTTCTTTGAAAATCACAAACGTGACATGCAAAGATGTAAAAAGATGGTACTGACAGGTCCAGTGACATTAAGCCATGCCTTTCACACCTTTTCCTCAATAGCTCTCTTAAAATAGATTTCTGAACAATAGAAGCTTATGACTCAGATGCAGCAGGAGACTGAAGTCAGGAACTGCTACTCCTAGTAAGGCATGGCACTAAACTGACTTCTGTTTTGCCTTTGTAGATGATAGGTCTCGGGCTTTTGGGAATTGGAGGTTTGAGCTGGGAATCAGGTGTTACTGTTTCTCACTAGTTTCTTCCATTTGGTTTCAAAGAAGCAGGAAGGATACATGTTCCCCTTATGCTAGGCTTCAGTGTTTATAGTAGTATACCAATTTCTTAGAGCAAAATGAAATAAAACATATTATAGACAGGTTTAATTCTTCAGATGGACTGATAAAAGTTATCTCACATAGCTTCTGACACTGGCAGATAGGTAATACTGCTAGCTAATCTGCAGGTTACCTGCACAGCAAAATAATAATGGTTTCAAATACTAAAAAGCACAGAGGACTGAATGAATAATTGAAATAAATTACTTACATTTACTAAGAGAATAAAAGGAATTAAAATTGTGCTAAGAATGCAGTTAATTTTATTATAGCATAATCATTATTTTGCTGTGGCATATCAGTTTATACTCACCCAGTTGTGCAATGAATTTTGAAACCACTGTGGAATAGCTTATTTCATCAGAAAATTTCTTTTTTTGAAATGGTAACCTGCAAAATGGAATTTAGAAATATTACGACTATGCTTAAAACACTATAGAAGAACACTTTAATCAAGTCCCCAGAATAGCTCAGTAGCTTTTCTTCTCCTCCTTGGCATTTTTTGCAAATAAAGGGCAGTTTTCCCACGACAAATACATTGTTTGCAATCCTATTCTACACTGAAAGTTCCAGTTCCAAAATCTGGCAATTACTAGTACACGTTCATAGATATTATTTTCATAATTCATATTCGATACAATAAGAAATACTGAAAAAAAAACCCTCACCCCCAAACCAAATGTAATTTAAATGTAGAAGATTAAATCCTGGAATCTATGCACTATCAGGCTATCGCAGAGATAAACTAAGCATAGGTATGTGCAGAGGTAGAAGAAAAAGGATCCTATCCCTGGGCAGATCTTTTGAAATAGATAAAAATAAAACTAATAAACTGACTCCAAATAGCCCAGAGACAAATTTATATTTCAAAACAGGATATAAAGAAATATTCAATAACATTTACAAAATACTTAGTCATGACATAAACGTGTAAGTGTTTAAAATCCTCTAACAGCAAACATTACAATGTTGTGTTAAGGTCTCTACAGCTCACAGTGTGGAAGCAGCTTTCCGGTAGGTTTACCTCTGTAAACACAGCCAGAGAAAAAGAAAGGAGAAAGCAAATAATCGGATAAATGGAGGCGGGGGAAGAAGCAGACATTGAAAAAGAAGTGGGAAGAAGACAGATAAACAGCAGCAGTTATGAAAGAGTGGAAAATTTTACTACAGGAGTCCTACTATCTGAAAGGAAATTTGAAGTAATGGCCCCTCCTTCTAGTTATAGGTTTCTCTTTGCCATATGAAGTAATAGTGAAAGTGGTGGAATTTCGACAGTACAGAAATTAAAGCAAAACCCAAGGGTGCGATTTTCCACAATACATTCATCACACAGTACAATTATTGCTGAACTGCTTTAAGAAATGAAAAGTCTTACAAATACATTTTATCAACTTTATACACTCATTCGCAGTTTTGTCATGCTTCTGCCAAACACGGAAGAAAATGAAACTTCATGATGTAGTTTCTCATTTTCCACTGTGTGGCAGCAAAAGAAAACAGTACAACCAATGGTGCTCAGAGAACTAAAAGATTGAGATGAGAAACTCTATCCTTATTAAGCCTAACAGCTGAGATGAAGCTATGTAAAAATCCATTTGAATAGCTAGTTTACTATGCAACTCCTGTCTGTGATTTTTCTCTTCCTTATTCTCTCCAATTATAATTAAATACAGGAGTAACTGTAGTTACAAGCGTTCCATAAGTAACAAATTACTGACGAGGAAAAAACTACTGACAAGTGTGGATAACATCTAAATTCTGTTCTACAAATAAGGTACATCATAACAATAAAGACGCCTGAAAGTTCATGTAGTATGTTTTTAAAGTAACTACAAATCCCAAATGCTCCGATTTTGGTTCTTATGCAATGTGGCTTGTAATTTTGTAAAGCCTTTAATATCTTCAGGTATTAAACTGTCTTTGTGGCACCTCATGTTTTTAAACTAACTTAAAGAGTTTGTTTAAAACTGCAAAGCAGACTTGGCTGCTGAAATCTTCAGAGACCAGCAGTCCCAGAACAATTTACTCAGTCACCCTGGGGAATCTTGCTTCCAAGCAAGCTGGGGCCAATTACAGTATAGTTTTGAATGACGTAATAGGTGGTTCCACTGATACTGAACTGCTAAAATGGGTCCCTCCTTTATGCCAACTGAAACTGGACTAAAGGAAAACACAGTTCATAGAAAAGAACGGTAATATAACAGATGCCTTGCAGGTACAGATGCGCTATAAATGGTTGCTGTATGCGTATCTCAGTTGCCTTAGAAAATGTATTAACATGTTAAGAAGCAATGTTTAAATCTCTAAAATGAGGGCTGAAGTACTTACCCACATAATTTAATAAGTTCACATAAAGGCTTGGTGAAAGCTTCTTGTTCATTCATTTTTTCTGCACACAGGTTAAGAATTTCCGTTATTTGTGCTAAATCCTTAAGGGGCTTTTAACTTAAAGTAAAGGAAATCAGGTTGTTTGTACTGCTATGAATCAGAAGAAAAAGCTGAACACTATATTCATCATACTTCAGAAACACAACCGAGAAAAAGCAAGGCCAATACTTTCAAAGTGAGATGTGTAAAATAAAGCATACGAGCCAACACTTAGGCTTTTCAAAACAGCCTTACTTCTACAAGTGTTGCAAAACTGATTTTGCTTTCTTATCAGCTGAACTCACTGGAAGTTCAGTACTGAATATTTAAAAATACAGGATGGAAAGTTTTTACATCACAGTGTCAGATTTACCTATCTAAATTCTGAGACATCCTTGAGGTATTTAAATTCTTTCCTACTCTAGTCCCAGGTGACTAATTAAGTTTTGACAATCTGGACCCAAACACATACTAAGATATCAAATTTAAGGTAGAGGTAGAGGCAGATAACACAGAACAGATAACTGAGACCAAGAACTTACTACCAATCCACTGACTCATGGAAACTGCCTGTAAGTACTTAGACACAAATCGATTGTGAAGTGATAGTTTTAATCTCTGTGGCAATTAGCTCAATTGTATGAAATTAATTGCATTTTTCCACATGCCCATGCCCTCTCTAGTACTTCTGATTACTGGGAGACATTCAATTAGTACTGTAAATATAAAAAAAGTTTCAGATAAAGTAGTCTGACTTCAATTTAAAAAGTCTCCTTCACTGGAAGTCATTGCTATTTTATCTGCTGCTTCTTAAGTAAGTGACAATTATTATGCTCGTCTGGGCTGAGTTGAAAGTACACTAATTACATTTTGAGCACTTTCAACCACTGTAAAGGTGAGATCCCTCTACCGAATTTTGTACCAAATAAATCTAGCATCCAAGAATCTTGCTAACCTGCCAGCTTTGGCTATGTGTACACAAGGCCAATGATGAGAATGTGTGTGTTCTCCATGTGGAAGCACAGCACATGATAAAATGCTTTGCTGGAAAGTCAGAGTATTAACATACATAAAACACCATGAATTCAGAGTGCTACAATGCCAAAAAGGATACAAGCCCATTTTCAAAACACTTGGCTACCTTCTTGAGACTTTTCAGCTGCTCTTTTTCCAAATCTTTCTTAAGTAAAAGAATAGAAAACGGGTTTTAATTGCAGTTTGCCTTAGCAGATTAAATGATTATGTTTATCCCCTTTTAAGTTTAAATGAAAGTCGAAACCAGATTAAGAAAATCACAAGACACAAGGAAATTCTGAAAGTGCTTTGCAGCAGGATTAGCTCCTTGATCAAGCCTAATTTCTAAATATAGAGTCTACCCTCTTGTAAATGCAGAAACTTTTGAAAACCTTATCTTTAGCTCAAATGTGTGGGCTTTCTCTTAAATTCTTTGGGATTCTGTGAGAGACACCTAATAAAACCAAAGCTATGTCACACATGACACTGATGTGTAAAAATGTAGATCTAAATGGCTTAGTGTAGAGCTCTGCCACCACTAGAAACAGTCTGCAAATTCAAAGTTGAAAACAACTGAAGCAAGGGTATGTCAGGGTGGGTCAGTGATACACAGCATTCATTCCAGCTCTTCTGAGCACCTCCACGCTGGGCAAGAGCACTGCACCTTGACGCAGGCCAGAAAGTTGTTTCGGGAATGTACAAACCCAGAATCCTAAAGCCATTTTATCATACACTCTCTAGAGAAGCAGTAAACAACATCATCCAGCACATTTTTCTTCAGTCTCTCAGTTTATACCATCAGCTCTGTATAAAGGAGGGAGGGGAGACACAAATGACTTCTCCATGGACATTAACTTAAAATGTGGTATGTTTAATCAAGTTCTTGGTTTTAGAGTATAAATTATTAGGTTCTTAACCCAAAAGTAACTGATATCTTAGTGAATTTAGTCTGCCAAATCTTCTTGTAGTCTGTGGAAGTCCATGAGAAGCTAATCTGTGCGCCTAGGTACTCAACACTGAACTTTGTATATCTCTCCTTCCTTTAAAATCATCTCCCTGGAGATACATCGGCAGTTAACTTGGGCAATTATATAAATTCCTGACATACTTTCAGTGACTGTACTCTGCATGCATTTCTGTTTCTCAGCTGTAGGTTTCAGCACTCTAAAACTCCCAGATAAGCTACGAATTTTGCCTGTTTGAGGCCCTACTGGGTTATATATGTATATATAGATAATCTTTATATATATACATACACATATATATATATAAACATCACTGATACTATTCTTTATTACAATGACCATCTTTAGAAGAAGTGTTCAAATACCAGAGCATTCGGCTCCAGTCACATCTGACTGAAGTCAGTCACATCTGGCTACAGTGCCATCTGCGTTATTTAGGGTGGGTACTAAAGTAATGTATGAAACTTTTCTAAGCCCTGTTACTACCTGTGTAACTGAAATAATGAAGTATTAGGCTTACTTACTGAGTTTGAATCTTCGAGTAGTTTAATGACGTGATTCAAATCCACTGATCTTAGCTGTGTATCCTGGAAAAGGCACACTTTTTACCTTTATTTTTTTAATAGGCTGTGCTTTAAAAGTGCTTAAAACTTAAAACGTAAGAGTGCCGCTCTGAACCAACATGAATCTACCTACGGACGGCTAAATCCAGGCTATGTGTGGAGCACAACCCGGAGCTTGTTCTCAGCCCGACGTAGCGGCCAAACCAAACCAAGGCAAGCCAGGCCAGGCCGTAACAGCGCCTCCCGGCCGGCGGTGACAGCAGACGGCGGGGCTGAGGGTGACTCCCGGCCGCGGGGGACCTCACCTGGATGGCGCCGAGGTCCGCGCTGGCGTCCAAGGCGTTCCTGCGCCGCTCCCCGCCGCCACGAGAGGGACCGAGAGCCGGCGACAGCGCCGGGAAGCGGGCGGGGGAGCGGGCCGGGGTGCGGGCCGGGGAACGGGATGGGGTGAGGGAGGGCGCCCGAGAGGCGGGGGGCTCCGTCACGGCTAGGGTGGCCATAGTGCCGATCTCACGCTGTCACCCCACCGCCTGCCGCGGCCGCAGCAGCAGGGCGGCCTCACGCGGTTGCCATGGGAGCGGGGCGGTGCCACCTCCCTGCAGCGGAGCCCAGGCACGCTGCGGCTTTGTGTGTGCCCGGCGCCGCGGAGCTGCCTGGCTGCGGGGCGGCGGCCAGCGTGTGGCCTGCCCTGTTGTGCGCCGCGAGCCTCCCGCTTCCCGCCGGCCTGCAGGCCCCAGTCCTGCCCTTTCTGCCGTCATCCCGGTGCTCCATCTCTGCGCCTGGGCAGGACACCCATTTGTTGTTCCACCCCCCTCCACGCTACCAGCAATGACATTTTGTGGCCTGTTACAAAGCGCTTGCTCAGCGAGAAAATTACTTCCCAGTCTGTGCAGAGCAGAGGTTGGGCTTTTCCCGCTTACTGAGAAACTGTAAGAGACAGGCTGGTTGAACCATAACTTCTGATCATGAATAAACGCACAGTGGGAGACCACCATGACAAACACCAGTGCAGATGGGATAGCCCTGTCTCAGGTGGCCTCTGGGGGGCAAGGGGAGAGGAATCTTTTCCCTGCGTAGACCGAGATGACTAATGCCTGGAAAGTAATAAAGGCAGGGACAGAAGCATCAGGGGATTTGGATATATTTTACTTGCTCGCAGTTTGCACCCCCAGGTTTGCTATTGCATCTCAGCTAAAAGCACAGGTGCTCTTGTGAGGATACATGTACACCTGATGGTCAGATTCTGAAATACCATCTCTAGGAAGCGTGGCTGAGCCCATCAACACCAAACTGGCTGGGACCACCAGGCCCTGTGCTGGATTAATGGCCAAAGGAGAGCTGATTATCCAGACGTGGCTGCAGCAAAAGGTGACACCTCACCATGTGCTTACTTCAGCTGTGCCTCGGACAAGTTACACATATGCAGCTTCAGATATTCACAAATCCCAAGTCGTTGACTGATACCAACCCCAGTTTTCATTAACAAATGGAAAAATAAGTAACTGGTAACAGAAACAAGAAAGAAACCTTTATGGCTCCAACTATAACCAACAGTTTTTATTTTTATTCCTCCCAGCCTGAATGTTACACTTCCCCACACTTCATATATGCCTTCTTCAGAAATAAGATGTGTATCATGTTCAGTACTTATGTACGCTATACAGCTCTCCTTCCATCACAGGCAAAATATACAAGAGCACATGTACCCATCCATGCTCTACATTTTTGTACGAGTTCATCCTGTATACAACTCTAGAATGGCAGCAAAAATATAGCCTAGCATAGAATGGGACTCTAATTTGGAAAACGCAGTGACCACTTTGACAGGCGTAACACATTGTGTTGCATTGTTAGGAACAGAGGTCACACAATGGTGGGGCATATAGGACATATTACAGTGCATTCACCTAATGTGCCAATGCTGTTGCCAGTCTGGTGTTTGATGCTTTTCATCCATCCAAGTAGACACATTTCTCCATTCCACTAAACATTTTACTAGCCCTTCCACATTCTACTTAAACGTTTCTGTGAACACTCTCAGTGGCTGTCTTGTATCTGGGCCTACACTGAATGGAACAAGTTTTTCTATTAGGCTTTTGATATGAATTGTAATGACAGTGCTTACAGGTCTGCAAGCATCACTGAACAAACTGGACTGTGGTCTTTTTTGCTTTGTGCACATATACTTACTGAAGTTGTATATATTAAAAAAACAAAACAAAATCCAAATGCTAAAATTTTCTTTTATTGTGGTTTAAGTGGTTTTAAGTGCTGTTGCTTGTGTTTTGAATGATAAATGTATAGAGAACATAGCTAAATTGGGCAATTTAGTCTGTAAATTATAAGCTTAGGTCACATGCCATTTGTTGGCTGACTGTTCCAAAGATCATATTGCAAAGTTCCATTTGCTCACTGTGCACCTTCTTCATATATGAAACTTTTAAGACTGGGATGAAAGCTACATTGTGCAAATTTGACTACAGGGATTCTGCTGCCCTTGGCAAATGGCAAATATCCAACCCCAAAAACCTGCAATCTACTGTGAAAATATTTACTGAACAGTTTTCTACCCCAAACAGGCTTATTTTGTATTTTTATTGCATCTACCTCTTCTGTTGATAACAAATAACATTCAGAACATCAAGGCTATAGGACCTTACTTTTGAGGGTATTAATTCACAGATATTAAATGCTAAGTCTCAGAAATGCTAAGGAAAGTATTTAAAAAGTAGACAATGTAGACAGAATTTCTGTTTTGGCTGAGAACTAACTGTTTTGGTGTGAAGAAACATTTCAGCAAACTCTATTCCTGAGGTAAGGATAAAATGTCATAAAACTATAGGACTGTGTGCGTAGGACACAGCTGTACATTAGAAGGTTTCATATCTAAGTCTGCCATTAATCTCCTGTTGACTTTACTGAGTGAATTATTTCCTCTAGTGTCTTACAAGTTAGGTTGCAAGCTTTTGAAGAACTATTATTCAGTAGAGGATACATCTTCCCTGTGCTGCAGTGGGGGTCTTCAGCCCTAGTCAAGTGATGTCCTTTCTTTGGCTGTATGAACCTGTAACTTTTAAAAATCATCTACACTGTTTAACAGTATGACACTGAGCTCTTTATAGTACAGAAATCAGAGTGTTTCTAAGAATCCATCTGTTGATGCCTTGTCTTCTTTCTCATTCTCATCTCTTTTTCTGGTCAGTAGGAAGGGGAAAAAGAAGGGGGGGGGGGGGAGGGGCACAGGAACAGCAAAATGCAGAACTATCCTGCCAGACCTCTTGTGTTTGATATCCACAGAAAAAAAAAGACAAGACCTATGAAGTGGCTGGCAGTAGACTCAACCTCAAACCTACAAAGTTAACAGGATTTCCAACATCTGGATTTACCTGCCTATACTATTAACAGGTCACTGAGTGGTATGGATTTGAGGGGGACTTTCATATTGATCTTTATTAATGTGAGGAAATGCAGTAAGTCACAGTAGACAGAACTTACAGTTTTATACAGTACAAGGTACACCTGGACAAAGATGTAAGTCTGGGGCTCCAGCTGCTAGCACAGCATCAACACTTAGTAAAACAAGCACTGTGATACACAGAAAATGGGTGAGATTAAAAAAAAAAAAAAGGAACAAAAGGCAAATTTCGAGGACCACAACATTACTGTTATGTCAGGCATGGCACTAATAGATAGAAAATATTCTGAATTTGAAAAGTACCTGAATTCCGTCTGGGGATCTGGGAAGGCTTTGTAACTTAATGTAAAAGCAATGTGAATCCTGCCAGCTTCACTCACTCATGCATCCTGACTTGTCTGAACTCATAACAGTTTGTGCTGCTGACCTTTAGTTAAGCAGGATTTTACCTCTCATGTACTGTTTTCCTCTTTCTTATGTTGGCATAAGTCTCTCTGGAAAAAAGTGATATTCCCAAAATGAAGGATTGCCAAGTGGTTCACCTCTTTTTCTCATTTAAACAGTAGTGCTTTCTCACATAATTCAACCAAATTGGAAAAGTATCTCCACCTGACCAACTTACTTGTGCCTAGCAGTCTCAATTTTGCCAGACTTTTTGTTTGTTGAATGAGTGGGCTGAATATATTCTGATAGTAGTGTAATGTTTACTCTCTGTTCTGAAGTCATGGAGAATACCTCACAGTAGGATATGGGATATGGCTTTCCAGGGTGTCCATATGAAATATCTGTTATCCAGTCATTGCAAAAGAAACAAATTGCCCTTTAGACTTTTTTTTAATGAACTGACATTCAAGTTCTACCCCTCAAAGAAAATGTTGATCACAGCACACATGTATTATAAAGAAACGCAAGCTAAAATTTATTATGCATAAGCACAGAAGAAAAAGCCAAATACCTGACACTGATTTTTTATTGATTTTTGTGTAAAACACATTCTATGGAAAAATAGATAAGAGCATCACTAATAATTTATAATAGCCCTGTTCAGAGACAGCACAAATTGCCAAACACAGCTACAAAGAGAATATTGCACATGGGAGACATCCTATGCTCACTGCAAGACATTGCCAACAAGGCATCAGAAACAATATATAATTATAGAGATCATTGTTCAAGTCTGTTCGATGTGCCACTTATTTCAAAGGCTGCAATCTAATTAATTCAAGCAGTGTCATATAATGAAACAATATCAGTACTGCAACATTAATCATTACATTGATAGAACAGGATGAACAACAAAGAAATCAAAAACTTGTGTATTAGGAGATGCACTGTTTGAAAGGAGCTATGCATATGCATCCACTACCACTGAATATATGAAAATACTATACTGAAAAATTCTATCTATCTAATCTTTATGCACCTGATACATTTAACTTTCACAGGAAACCTTCAAAGAGGAAAGCTGTTTCCTAACTATTTTCATAACTGTGAAATTTTATAGCCACTTGGGAACTCAGTGGCTCATATTAATAATTTCCCTTAGTGCTTATTGGGCAGCATGTATAGCTAATAACGTATAGACGCAGACACACATGCTATTTTATAGGTAAGTAATGCCAAATAAAAATACAAATGTACTTGCTCATGTTGGCACATCATATAATGCACAATGTTGGAACAAAAAGTTAAATGTGGCACCAATTCACAGTAATCATTACCACAAGCTAGGCAGGCAAAGAACTTGCAAAACAATTACAAAATAATTAATATCTAAATAATTCAAAAACATAGGTACTTAATTAACATGTATATAGTTGCTACAGTTAATAAAATTTCAAGATAAAATTAAACACACATATGGAACCTGTAATAGAGTGGTATTTTAGACAATGTTAAGAATACCTTAGTATCTGTAGAAAAAAATAATCTGTTGCTAAACACATACAGATCTCCATTTTCTAAGATGATGTATAGTTCTGTATTACATATTAAGCACTATTTTTTTTTTAGTGAACCGTGATGAAAATAAATTAAGCCTATTTCATTATTCATTTTTCATTAGGCAGTAAGCAATTTATAGAAAGCTACACAAAAATAGCAGGGTGCTTCTCAAAATACTTATTTATTCTCCTAAGTAACTAAGAAGACATGTAAATTAATTTAATTGTTTATATTCAGGCAATCAAAAATAACCTTTAAGCCTCAGGTCTTTTTCCAATGAGAAGTCCAAATGCAAGTTCTTCCGTAGAAATGAATAAAGATTTCCTACGTGACTAAACATATGCATGATATGATACATAATGTGTAGTAAACATGTGAGAGTCATTTTACTTTCAGACTTAACAGTATCTTGTTAGAGTGAATTGGTCCTTATAGACTACAAAATATTAAATCACAAGTCAACTTGTTATTCCAGTTAACAGGAAATAGATGGCCTAGCAGGAAATCATCTTATTGTAGCACAAATATTTCACAAAATGTCTTTATATAACTGAGCTAAAAATATCATCTATTTATTAATACTTCAATATTTCAACCTTTCAAGTAACTTATCAAACACATTTTTAATTTTCTACACACACTTTGAAAAAAAGAAGCAATGCATAATTATCCTTTCCAGACACCTTTGGCAGTTCAAAACTTAACAGTTTAAACACTCATGAAGAAATTTAATGATGAAAAAACTTTTTGCATAGGCTAGAGGGCCAATACATTTCTGTATATACTGTCAGTGGTTGCATTACAGTACAATATATATTGACTTTGACAGGAATTTTTAATTACTACCGTATCTTTGTTCTGTAACGTTATCGCTATTACATCAAATGAATTAGGTAATTGTAGGGAACAGCAGTGTTTATTGCTTATTCTACAGAAGTGTAGAGTTACTACAAAATAATAGCAGCATATTTAATTTTGCAATGTCATCAGATTCTCAACAGCAATGGTTTCTGCCTTAAATTTGTTCAGTAGTATGAAATTCTGCTCATAGTTATACCATCCCATTCTAGTGATTTTAATCAAGTTTTGGGCACAGGACTGGGGTAGATGCAGCATGGTATTTATCCCATTACAATTCTCCATGACTTTGTGTATTCTGAGATTTTTTAAATTAATCTTATTTTAAGAATTTAAGTAAAAATGCTTAAGTTATATGTGGTTTCCCTTTGCAGTAATGGAATAGGAAAGAGGTCAGGAAATCCAGTTACATATAATTCTGCAAGCCTTTCAAGAACTGTACAGCCTTCTGTATTGGAATGGCAAAATACAGGCAAAATAGGTTAGAAGTTTTAATTGTCTCTTGCCTCTTGATTTGCAGCAATTCCAGAATACACACAGACTCAATGTGTAAGTTTGGGGAATATGAATACTACAATGAAAATAAAATTCTTGTAGATTTTTTGAATTTAGAACAGCATGATCTCTTTAGATCTGGGTTGTAACCATCGACAAAGTTTGAATCTCGATTCTTAGTAGAGCTGTTGGTTTCATTACAGAGATAGTGAGATTTACAGGACTAGTGATTTTTAAGGAAAAATTCAAGTCTAAGTACTGTATATTTCTGACGTATCCTACTGATGACAAATTCTTGCAAAGTAGTAAATAGTAAGTGAAGGTCCAGCTAAGAAAGTCAGAGATCATCAAAGATCCCAGACAATGCAAATATAGATAAGAAAAATATAATTTCATACAAGTAAAAAAGTTAGGACCACATTCTGATTCACTGAAATAGAGGTTTTGCTAATAAAGCAGAAGCAGCCTGAAAGTATGCGTTGAGTTTGGCTATTTTGTTAGAGGAGAGTAGAACCTGACAAAGCAGTAGTAATAAGTAATTGTGAACGTTCTTTTGAATCTCACAGGAAATGCAAATGACAAATTTTAGAGATAAATTCATTTTTAAGTATAAGAATAATAATTTGTTTCTCAAAAATTCAGGCATATCCTAGAGACACTTGTAAAAGTAAGGCTTTCATACAAAAATAGAAGATTGAATTTGCACAAAAAGATATTAAGAATTTAAGACAGACTCTGCGAAATTCATATGTAGTAACTGAAACAGCAGTGTAAAAACATATAGAACATGAATATTGTGATACTTCCCCGTTGTACCAACTTATTGGAAGTTTCACAGTGAAAATGGATTTTTATTCTTGCAGATTTCTCAGCTTTTCTTTAACATTTTAAAATATCTCCTGATATTTTGAAATAATTCTAAAATAAAAAAAATTAGTTGCTTGCACACATACCTGCATGTCTTTCTATACAACACTATTTTGAATTTTCATTATATGATGTATGGAAATAAACAGATGCCAAAGGTCTAAAATCCTATGTAATACTTTGGAAAACCAACTCTGTTAGTACAATACTATTTGCTTATAAGATGTACAATTACACCATAATTGAAAGTGGTTTTGCATATTCAACTTGTGAAATGGTGTAAAACCACACACAAATAGATATATACTGTACATGTGCGATACATCAATAAAAATTAATTTGTTTCAAAACCTGATTATTTCCTAAATTATTAACTTTATTAGTCTATATTCTGAACTCACTAACCCAAGAGTGTGATTTTAATAAAATAAACACTACCCAGAAAATGTATCATTAATAAATAGCACTCTGACACATATGCTCTAAGTCAAATATCTGGAAAGCATGGTTATAATAAAATACTGTTGTGCTAAAACTGTGCAAAGGAATATTAAAAATTCTGATTTCATAATAATCTGGCCTCTGTAACTCAAAACAAAATTACTTTTGTAACTATCTGAAGTAGTAGTCTTCTAGTTACAGATTTCTCATAGTTTGGTTTAGAGCTTGTACTGTACACCAAGCAAGTCCACAATGACTTTACCCATACTTTAACTCAACTTCTACAAATACAAGTTTATGACAAAAAAACCTCCAAACCCAAACATCTACAACAGTGCTAACAGACACTGATTTATCATCACATCACCGTTATCCTTTCTGGGGAGAGATGTGGAGCAGACCCACTTGCTTCTTCTATAACATAGCTTTTCTCCCATCCTCTTCGAATTCTCCTCAGTTTCCTACTTACACAAGGCAAAAGTAAAAGGATCTTACCTAGAATTACAATGGAAGGCAGAACAAGGGCAAGAACAAAATTTGGTGGTGTATAAAATCTGTAATATTCTCCTTCAAAAGCTCTTTTCCATCCGTAAATCAGTACATGGAAAGTACTTATGAGCAGAGCGATGTATCCAAGTGTAGACTTTGATAAAAGAGAAAACAGGGGGGGAAAAAAAGAGATAATGGTACTTGGTCCTGACAGCTCTAACCCATTATTTTAACACTTCTATTAGACACTGTGTTAAAATCTTTTACCTCTACACTATTTTAAATGGGCAGTGTGTGGTTTAAAGTTATTGTTCTGAAACCTATGGGTTGAACTGAGCACTGACATTACAACATGTCTCTGCTAGCATCTGTAGGCCTTAATCAAAGTTGAAATTAATATGTTTGCCCAAATTCTAAGTGGAAGTCAACCTCAGGATATGTATGTGAATAAGGAACAATGCCAGTGAAGTTACTGGAACTACAGTTCCCCATTTCTTAACTATGAGGGTAGATCACTTCCAAGATTTGTGATTACGGAACAATGCAATTCTCCTGAAGGAAATCTGAGCCTAACACGCCAGATTTTTATCACTGAGAGGTGCAGTTTGCTTCTTTCTCACTATGGCCTACATCCATGTGCCTGAAGTTAACGTAAATACTCTCACCTCTTGCCATCAGCTGTTGTCTGGTTAATGGGAATACCTGGACTGCCCAACTTGGGCATATGGCACAACAAAATGATGCAGTTAATTTGTCATAAACATGTAGTGCCTGATGGAATGTGATTTAGAAGGTTCCCACAGCACCCTGCATAGGATCTCTTATATAATCTAGAGCATGCCACAGAAGGCAGTGTTAATAGGGGTCATTTGCCATTTCTATGAATCTGCCCTTTTGAGAACCCTGTAGTTGTGCTGTTCTGCAGACTCAAGTACATTTAAGTACTAACCTTTACTTTTCCAAACTATGGTAAAAAAAAACCCCAACAAAAACAACTACTGTGCTTTGAATTCTGATGGTGATGAAATGAAGAAAACCTCTTTTTGGCCAAAACTGATGTAATGACTAACTTGGTTGAAAAACATTTGTAGAAAATGACAGGAATAGAATGGCTATTAAGAAAGGTAACTGTCTACCAAGGTCTGGTTTCATTCCAGCAGAGAGGCAAATTAAAATTCATCCTAAGGGTCTGTAATAGTCAGTGAAAGAATTAATTGTTTCTAGCTCAAGATGAACCAGTTTCTAGGAAGAGAACGCCTGAGCTAATACTACTTGCAAGGATTCATGGATATAATGGTAGGAAAAAGAAAATACTTTTGTTGATTTTTAGAGGTTGGTACCATGGGTTTTTTTCAACTTCCCAATACTCATGCACTTTTTTGCCAGTTCTTTCAAAGCCATGTTGGTATGTCTTAGGTATGCTGCAACCTTTTTTTTTTTAAAAGAACAATCTGCTCACAAAATGTCCTATAAGAAACAGAACAATCAGACAACCACTTGTGGATATGAAAATTACATACTCAGTATTTAAACAGAACTTATGCTAAGAAATTTGGACAGCAAACAATACTGTTTGACCATGTTATTGCAGATTTTTGCTGGTATTACTGTCCTGAATTCACTGTTGTTGTATCACTGCCAGCAGGGAAGAAGGCACAACTGAATCATATCCCTCACTTCATCAGGCTTACTGGTGAGAACCACACCAATTCTTGAAAAAGAAACTGGAGGGAAATGTTATACAGACTCTTCCCAAAGTAATAAAAAAAATGAAATAAAAAATACTTGGTTAATTTCCATATGCAAACTACAGTTTTAAGACATCTATACAGTCTTTCCATCTAATGGTCAAAATGGAAGCTAAGAGTTACATCAGTACATTTTGAACTAACATCACAAGGAAAAGAAAAACATATGATGCACCCCTATTAATTTTTTTCTTGTGGAAGGTTGCCATGTGCTTCTTTGATAGTATGTACTGGACCATTTGAACTGCTCATCTAAAAATATGACAACAAAGACATTCCTATAGGAGTTTCTGTCAGCTACTGATGGTATTTTCTTCTAGCAGGTCCTTAATTGCTCTATTTTTGTGCTGTACCTTTTGACAGTAATAACACCGCTTAGCTAGAAAGAGGGTGTCCTCCACACAACTCAGCATTCTGAAGTATTTCACTTGTTTAGTCAGGGCAGATCTGCACTAGAAAATTCCATTAAGAACATCCCAGTGTGCAGCTACTGAGTTTTCCAGAAATACAAGCAACTCTGCCTGTGTTTGCTAATTAGGTAAAATGCCACTGCAGAAAGCTGCATCAGTGCAAAACTTTGTTATAATGACTTGATTTTTCTATATCTGCAAATGTTCAAATGCTACAGCAATGTCTGTACAGGGTGGCCAGGACTCAGCACAGGATGCTAACTTAGATAAGAGCAGAGGACTTCTGAAAGCAGCTAGAAGGGATACTTTTCCTTCACTGGTAAATTTACATTGGTGAGTGAGTAGCAATAGCAGTTTTAAGTCATGGGAACCCTGTCTAAGCTCTAGGAGTAATGATGGGAAAAGGGGAAGAGCATCTTTGGTTGCTTTGCTTCTCTATTTGTCGTAATACTGTGTTTTCTGCAAGCTAATTAGATTCGCACATTTCCTGTGTACTTCCCTATCTTTTAGCTTAAAAGTTAGAGAAAAAAAAACAGAGGAAAAGATGCAGGAGGAAAATCCTAAAATGTTACCAAGAATATGTACATATATAGAGACACAATCTGCTGTAGGACAAATCTGCTTCAGGAATTTACACCTCAATGGTCGAGTAGTTCCAAGCAATTTATATATACAAAAAGTATTTTCTAAAGCCTACATTATGCAAGGTATACTTCAGATTCCCCCAGTAACAGGATATTGCTAAACTTACAAACAGGCTGCAGCAACTCGGACTGGAATTTCACCCATAAAATTTCTAAATACTCAGGCCTTATCCTTCTTTACTCTTGGGGAAAAGTATACTATTGACATGGAAGAACCAAAGCAGAACAGCCCTTCCTCAATGTGTGTGCACAAGAAAAGTTTTAATGATACTTTTAATTAATAATGAAAAGTTTTAGTCTCCATAGAACTACAGGATTGTGCTAGCAGACAAAAGGAATGGCTACAAAAACATCAGCTTCCTACTGTGCAAATGGCAGGTTTGCACTGACTTTTGCTAAGAAACCTAAAGCTTAGTTTTCAAAGCCAGTCTGCTCTGCCCATCGCCACTTTTGAGTGATGTGCTTTGGCCTTGAACTGTTAGATCAGAAAACAAAAGCAGTAGTTAGTTATGCTTACATTATATAATTACAGTTTAACTTCCTTCAGAAGACTGAAGGACCTGGTGCAGCACTGCTTGCAACAGTGTTCTCCATTTCCATGTAGCTCATGTGAACATTCAATGACTGCTTTCAATAAATGTCTTTTTCTGTTTGCACTGTGTTGGTGTAGGCTTGTTATTCTGCTTGCTTTGACAAAATAGGAACTCTTTTTTATTTCTTGCCCATGGCTACCTTTGTTCCTTATTCAAATATGTTTAGAAAAGAAAAAGAAGAGTACTTCAGTGGTGTTTAAGAAAATTGATGCATTACTTTATCATCCCCAGCTTCTTCCCCACTTCCTTGTTCAGTAAGCTCCAACTGCAGGTCATGTTAAGATGCCTGCAAAGTTTCATGTGAAATTTACATCACGTAGGGTCACCTACTCAGCAAACTCTTCATCACTGTCTCATTCTGTGGCTTCTTCATTTAGATGTCATGAGTGTTTCTTTCTGAATTGTGATGAAGTAATTAGATACTCGTTTTGTACAGTGGTCAGCTCTGTACTCCAGCCACTCCAAGTTTTCTGCTGGCCTCTTAGCTCCTGGTAGGGCTGACACAGTAACTTTCTTTTGCATCACTATTCAACCTTCTCACATCTCCATTCATATTCATACTCTGAGGGAAGGAGTGGAGCCTATACTGCTTCTCCTCTCAAAGCCCTTTTCCCATAATTAAGGTATTTTTCGGCACTGACACCCATGTTGTGAAACTAGGCTAGGTAAGATGGAGGCATCTCCAAAACAATTGGTGATATCAAAGACACCAGTGATTTCAGGGCAAAAACATTCACAACTGGGGATTCTTTATGGTATTAGGCAGACTGTGGTAGAGACCTGTTTGAACTACTGTAGGTAGGGGAGATGCTGCTCAGGGCTTGTACTACTGCAGCAAGGGTAAAATGCAGTCTGTACTATATATGTTAATAATTTGTTAATCCTAAAATCAGATTTTCTTGGTAGGACTCAAGACTATGTTGTAGCAGTAAAACTCTTTAGAAAAGGTCAGACCCTTATTTTGATGAAACTGAATTTACCAAGATGAGCAAGAAATAGTATGTTGTTCTCAGTGGGAAGTGCTAAGGTGAGAAACCGTCTAAGTGTGCTGTTTGATTCTTCGTCTGTCAGACACAAAGCAAGTTCAGCAATTATTGTAGCAAATCATCTGAGGTTCAGGACTAAAGCTAGAGATACAGTTTTTCACAGAACTGAGATGATGGGCTAATAGTTCTATTGTTTGAGATGAAGGAAATTAAGTTAAAATATTCACTTTGTCATATTGCTCTTCAATAAAGAAAAATATAAAAGGCATTAAGCATTATGATGTTTTATCTGTTCTTGCATACTGGTACAATGAAGCTTGTGCAGAAATGGAGCCTCCCTTTACTTTAGTGAGGGATCACTGAAAGTCTGTTTTCTGACTGAATAAAGCAAGAGGACTTTTTTGAAGGACAATTAACTAAATAAAGAACAACTTACGTCCTGAGAAGTAATTAATGACAAAGTAAAATATATTTACTGGTCATTAACTGTTAGTAGTTCAGTATTTTTTGTGAGAAAAAATTGTAAGTGATCATAATTAATTACCAATACCAGTTCTTTTCAGCATGTATCAACTGTAACCTTTAGAGCAAACAACTTGGTCCAAATCAAATTCCTGAAACAGATGATTGATTAAAGTTCATAACTATTTAAATTTGGAACTATTTTGACTTTGTTTACAGTGGAAATACCTGCAGTAAATCTGACACAATAAAAATGCCACTGTAGACACATCATGATGCGATTATTGTGTGGGTTTTGACTCAGACACGCAAGCTGGAAATTTAAAAATCTGAGTAAGGAAAAACAAAACACAACTGCTGGGTTTGTGGCTGGCAGTCATTAGTGTTTAAAGGCATTACTTCAGTCACAAGTGAATACATGTTTTTGCTTTTGCACTGATTTACATCATCCAACAGCAGCACTATTGTTTCCCTGCACAGAGAAATTTGGATGGCAGGGATGTTGTAACAATAAAAAAATGGGTACTGACCTCCTCTGAAGGCTCAAAACCATGGGCATGAATAAACAGTTTTATCAGGGGAACTCCAATTTGAAAAATTTTTTGGCCAATTTTTGTACACCTACCCAGAGTGTTCCACCAATAGAAACCCTAGGGGAAGAGAAGACATTACAGACAGAAGACCTGTGACAGCTACAGCCAAAGAAGCTTTCCTCATCACTCCCTTCAAAATGTAAATTATGAAATACAACCCAAGCCCTGAACAGTTAAGTCAGTGCTTGCATTCTGAACGTTGGAATTTGTACAGTGACAGGTCTAATAATTAGGTAATATTTTACAGTCTTGTGTTGAAAAACAGTTTATCAGAAAAGATAGAGTGAAGACTAGAGTACTGTCTCCAAAGTCAGAGAACAAAACAACAAAACTCAAAACTGTGTGTACACACTAGCGAAATCTATCAAAAGACTGAATTCTAATAAAGTTTCTTATCATTGACTGCTACCTATAACTAATGACAATTTTGTTTGGAAGCAAACTTTAGGCTACTTATTAAAGCCTGTATTTCTCAGTATTTTGTACTCATTAAGTCTGCATGCTGTAGATATTTATCTAAGGAAAGAGGGCAGCAGAAGACATGCCAAGACCTGGAAAAGCCTCTGTTTTAATAAACAAAGCTAGCGGGTATTTTCAGCTAATAGGAATGACACAGTTGAGAGCTGTATTAATTTGCACAGAGTGGAAGGGAAGCAAAATTAAATGGCTGTCAGAGGCCTGTGCAATAAAAATCCTGCAGGACAAATTAAATCTTCAATTTTAACAGTTGTGTGCATCTACATATAGTAGCATCTCATCAGGATCATTGCCTTTAGTGAGTTTGGCCACATTTATCTAATTTGAATTCATCAAGAAACTGTAACAAGGGAAAAGGAATAGATTAGTGCTCATTTGGTCTTAGCTATGTGATTATTTAAGACCAAGAAGTGTGAAATGCAAATTCCCATTCTAATACTCATGAAATGCTTAATTACTTTCATGGTAATGTATCTGCTGAGTAAGGATATGTTGTTTTTATTAACTTACCATAGAGAAGGGAAACATAAGGTCTCATCATGTTGCAAAATGTTTTGTTCATCATCATTTTCATCAAGGAATTCTTGTCAACAACAAATCCCCCTTATTTAAAAAGTAACCCACCTGAATGAAACTGAACTCCCTCCAGTTTAAGGCACTGTTCACTGAAGGGATGGAAGTTACTGCCAACAAAGCAAGCAATCCAAGACTCATTATTCCAAAGGAGATATACATTTCAATTCGCCACACTTCTTCCTCATTCCAAGAATTTTCAACATTTGCATGAACCTGATGAAAGAGCAGAAAGGAAGCACTTTATTCTACAGAATATTAAAAATATCACAGAAGTTATTTTGCTGAGTAAAAGCCTACAGTCACAGGACAACTATAAAATGAGGTCAAATATTTTAGAGGTTTCCTCATGTCTTGGAGAAAAACAACTATTCCCTTGCCACTGGTATTGGCTCTTGTTAGATTAGATTATGTTAAACCTGGAAGCTTAAATGAGTTTTTAAAAGAAAATTTACCATTATATACTATTTATAACAAGTATGTTATAAAACCAGATAAACCTGTGTATTCCTATATGCTGTAGAAGAGTAGCTGTGCTCTTCAGACCCTGGAAACTTAAATTCTGTAACATAAATTGGGTGAACCAGCAATTTGTTTTTAGTTTGTAGCATTTAGAAATAGTTTAGCATCATTTCCTGGTTTTGCTTCAGCTCCCTGTGCTAAGTCAAACTTACTTTGCCTATTTCACTGTTGCCATCAGATACCTCCAAGATTGTTCTCACTGGAGAGCTTTACCAGAAAAAAAGAAATAACTCAGGTCATTAACAATTGAGAGGCTTGGATATTTAACTCGTTTTCCACTTTCAGGTGAACTATTGTAATATGGCATGGCTTTAAAGAGGCTGACCAAGAGTATTAGCAAGGAAGAATTTTACAATATTATTAAAACCAAGATAATTTCTTAGTATCAGTGGGTCCTTTACTAAGTGTGAACAATTACAGTTTCTTGCTGCCTTTTAATAGTTTTGCTCTTCCTGCCTTTCTCTTCAGTTCATTTTTTAATGATAGCCCTTTTAGAATTTGTGGATCCAAGCTCTTCTAATTTGTTCCATTTGATTCGATTTCCTTAGTTTGCTTTTCTTTCTGTTCCATCACATCTGTATTTCCTGCAGATTTTATGTGCTGAATGGCAATGTTGTTTTTCAGGCAATGCTGCTTTTCTGCTACTTTAGAAGTGACAGTAAGTTACTTCAGTGACAAACAGGAGCGTCAGACCCTCTTCTAAAGGATGACAGATTTATCAGAGATTGTTTCAGGGTTATGCAAGACCAGTTGCTTCTGGGAACTGTGAGTCAATCTCTATTGCCTGGAATAGATGATGTTCACATACTTAATGAATATTTTTACCAGTGGTCCAAAAATGTTACAAAGTAACAGCATTTTTATTTTCTAAACACAGATGTACTGGTAAGCATTATTACATTATCTACTGTTATACTTTTCACACTTGTAAATGCACTTATGATATAAATACTTCCCCCATATGTTATGTATACATAGAGAGAAACGTACCCCAGAAGTTGCCTGCTGTTGCTCTTATCCTGTCTATCTTACATTCTCCTTGTGTACATTACTATCAGGGGTTTAAGTAGGACACGTCCTTGATTCCTGCTACCACACAAACTTGACTATAACTTGATGCACGAGGTGAGCACAATGCATAAGTTTCTTTTAGTCTTTCTTATTTGGCACTAACTATGCATAAGATAACCCATAACATTCTCCACTGAAAACAGTGGAACAGGTTAAGAAAACAAGTGTATTGTATTCATGAACCATATATATACAGCCAAGGCATTTTTGGCTTACTGAACTAGTTTGTCTTACCTGTTGGTATGCCATATTGAGGAACAAGTATCGCTCCGATCTCCTCATAGGTAAGCAGAGGCTGTATGCCACATGCACTGTTGCAAAGAAAAAACTCAGCAGTCCAAGCTGCTTTCGACACTGGAGCCAGTTGTCCAGCCAAAGTGGAAATCGCCTATACTTAGTACCATAGTAAAGCTGATAAGCAGCTGCAATAAGTCCTGGTAAATACACTAGAGAAAGTAAAGTGATAGCAACAATTGGTAGAGTCTTGTTCACAATCTCAATGGGGATCTTGTAAAAGTCACTCTGCTGATTTTTCACGTATGGATGGATTACATCCCTGACGAAGGAATAGATGAAGAAAAATGTTGCTAGGCTAATGGCAATCACTACAGGCCCCTTCCACAGTGTGAACAGTTGCAGAGGTAAGTTTTCAATTTCTCTTGAAGATGACAATGCCCCCAAATCAATAGGAATAAAACTGAGCTGGCGGGCAAGCTCCATAACTTGATGGCGAGCCTGAACATTGTTACTGCATATATAGACCTGTTGGGAAAGTAAAGTGAATCATGTGTAGTCAGAGAGAGACTCAAAGGGAAAAACCCACCCAAACCACAAAAAAAAGACTTAAGGGCCTCCAGGTCAAGAGAACAGCACTACTGCTGAATTGTACACTGTTGTCCCAGTTTGTATCACCAAGATAATAATGAAACTACATACAAACCCAGCTAAAGGGAAAATATGCACACTAATTTAGCAACAAAGTAACCAAAATGAAATTCGCTTTTTCTTGACTGCAGGATGCCCTGGTAATCTGTAAATTGAACCCACTCCCCACTTCCCACAGGATGTCTACAAGACTGTACTGAACTTGAAACAATGGCTACAAGCATTTCAGAAGATCACAGGTATCTCAAAAACACAGGAATCTTGAATAATGACCCCAGAACAGCTGTCCCATAAACAGAATGCAGAGAACTGTGTATTCGCTCCATGTATAACAATTTTAGCTTAATTTCACAGAAAAGACAGAAACTAGCAGCCAAATAACAACTCCTTGTAAAGACCAGTTTATTACATAGTGAAAGAAATGCACTGCTACAACGTAAAGTTCCTTTAAAATTTACAGTGGGGTATAGTTCGCTCAACGCTGTCTGCTGACCATCTGCTTTAGAGCAAACATGATCCCTTTTGACAGAAGTTACTTACTTACAATGCAGTGCTATTCTGAAACGGGATAAAAACAGTACAGTGAGGATATTTTTAAAATAATGATAATTTTATATCAATTGCATTCCTTTTAAAATCTACCTGAAGTGCCAGAAAAAATTTAGCCTTCAGCAGTCATGTTATACCAGTCATTTCTCACGTGTTTCTCAGAGTCCATAAAGCCATGAAGGGCTGGGTTCTTGCATAAACTTAAATCCTTTCTATCACTTCAGCAAAGCATGAAAAACATAAAGCTGCCTTTTCTATATGCCTGATGGATTTGGGGAACATACTGGGAAGGAATTTGAACATGATGTTCCCAAGTAGTCCTGGATCAAATGAATGATCATTTAAAAACATATGTGCCTCCTTCTGCTTCCCCGTATTTATGATCTTGGGACATTCTAAAAGCCAGATAAATTCTTTCTTTCACTTTGCTATTATGCTGAATGCATTTTTAGAACAGCTGATTCCTAAGCCCTTTGATCAGGATCTCAGATTTCTGTGCATCTCTTTCAATAGCTCATGCCATGTAAATCAATATTGAAATTAAAATACTCTGGGAAAGGCTGCTTCTATTGCTGTACAGAGCATAAGGACAAAAATTAATATATTTCCTACAGAAGACACTAAGACCCAACTCCTCTCCTCTGTCTGCAGTCATCTGAAGGTCAACTACGTAGTCTAAGCTAGTATCCACATTTCCTCTGCAATAAACAGGCATCCCAGGAAACAATTTGGACCACTTACTCCATATATCTTACAGTGGAATGAACTAGACTCTGAAAGTTTTAGTAGTCAATAAAAGCTAAACTAAAGGCCCAGCATTTCAGGCATGCTATGTCAGGCAGGATGAAACTCATGAATTCTGCCTCTTTCATTCAGTTCCTGTCGTTTCATCTTATAAAGAAGTTACATTAATATAGATATAACATTTACCTGTCTGCTGGCATCCTTTGGTCCTAACTGCAGTGACCAAGCTGAAACGACATTGAACCCTTTGACAACCAGGGAATCTGGGAAAAGTGATGCCAAATACTCTGCATTGGAGTCCGGATACTGGTCTATTCTTGTGTTATTGCTCACATCAATTAGAATTTTACCAGCTAGTAAATGTTTGAGGTCCCACAAAGAGGCATAATGTTCTCTGTGTATGGCTACAAAAATGATGTTTGTTTTTGCTACAGCATCTTCATGGTGCGTGACATCAACCACATGGGGAAAGAACTCAGCAGCAAGTTTAGGGTTTCTGCTTCCTACAACTATGTGGTACCCGCATCTGATAAGTCTAATTGTCAATGACTTTGCGAAGTCTCCGCTTCCAATGATGCCTATTGTGATCTTACGGGCATCCTTGATGCCATTGGCAACATTTGGTAGAAAAGTTTCATTGAGGTTCTTAGGACTTCCCATCATAGAGATTGATTCCATACTTCCAAAACACCACACCTACAATGACTTCTTCTGGGAAACAAACAAACAAACAAACAAAACAAAACAAGCAACAAAAGGAAAAATTTAGCATAATACAATTTTATGAGACATCATAATCCATAAACACCTCTCTGAGCAAAATCTGGGGTTCTAAGTTTCATGTTTTATTTTCTCCTTAATAAAGTATATGCAAATCAATTTTGTAAAAGAAGAAACATAAAATACTTCAGGCACTTCAATGATACAAAACTAAATTATACTTTTTCCATCTTCTATTCCTATCTTCCACGGGAATACTGGATCACAAGATAACCCTGTGCTCCCGAAACTAATGGACAATGGGATAAGACACATGTACAGAATCCTGGATAATCATGAAAAATATTAGAAGGTAAAGATAGCTGGCCTGTGGCTGGTATAAGGACACTGAGTTAAGGGAAGCTGAACTCCATTAAAATCTTAAGCAGGTTATTATTGTGGTATCCTATATTGGCCAGGACGGAACGGATGCAAAGATCTCAAACCTGCAAATGTACCACCATGACAGACCTCTGACATACCTGTCAGCCTAGGAGATGGGCTGCCCACAAACATCCACTGGCAAAGACAACTTGCCAATTTCAACTGCCTTGAAATTTGTCAAGGCCTATTCATAAGATCACCAATGACACTGCTAGGTCAGACTTCTAGGTCTGGCTATGGATGCATAAGAATTAAATGTGGGTGCAAAAGTAAAGGATTCAAAGCCAGAGGTCAAAAATGCACTTAATAGAATTTTCTGACTAAGCAGAGAAGATAAATCCTGAAGACAAACACACGGGAGAGCATTCCACGAAGAGCTAATGGCAGGAAGAGAGAGGATTTCATGCAGTAATAAAAAGGAAGAGAGTTTTAGGATTCAAATTCAGTGCTGTAAGGGAGGCTTTGAAGAACAGATGCTAAGGCTCACAGAAAATTAAAAGAAATACAGCTATAGCTTTGGAGAGCAGAGTTCACAAAACTGCAGTATAGCTGTAACAAAGACAAACAGACATAAAAAACCCAACAAAACATTCCCCAGGAGGGAAGTTATCACCTGAAACCACAGTTAAGACATAAGTGGTTCTGCACTGTAGAACAGGAAAGAGTTCTGAAAATGAAGGAAGCAATGAGGAATGGCAGGCTAAGAAGCAAAGAGAAATCGTGAGGTTACTCTCTTGGGAGCTATTCCAGACCACATGCAAAAGAGGAGCTGAATGAACCTTTTCATAAGCCACCATGGATGAGTTACCATCACATCACCAGAAGGTGATGTGATGGTAACGAAGCATGAATAGGGGACTTTATGCAGCCATCAGCTAGGAATACAGTATGTGTGGTGAACAACCTTCCCCAATTCAAAGTAGCTTTGCATTTCAGAAGTTGGAGGAAGCTACTTAGACAACTGGGTGCTTTTCATTTCACCTTTAACTAGAAAGGAAGAACTCACTGAAACTGGACTGAGACTACATATGGAAAGCAATAGTGACATTGACCACAAAACCACTATTCTAAGAAAAGATTCTAACAGTGAATCTTTCTGGCAAAAGCAGATCACACAGATTTTCATGCATGCACTGAAAAAACATTGGTTTCTTTGTTACCACATGACCTGAAATGCATCTAACACATGACCAAACTACTAGTATTTCCTGAACCATGATGAGCTCACATAGAATCATCCAGGAACATAATAAGAATAGCTGTATTTTGATCACATAAGAAATATACATCAACTAGATATGACAGAACACACATGCTTCCATCACATGACTACAGAGGCCCACTTTACTTCATGCCATGTGATGTGAAGGTGCTGCAAAACTTTGGGATAGAAAGGGAACCACCATGAGGAAATTGGCTACCACTACCATTTAACCATACTGCAGTCTACTTCCAGTTTTTGTCCAAAGGATCCTTAGGATAGTGGGCATCAAGATTTGAACATTTGGAATTGCTCTGGTGACTGGCTCTCACAGAACCAAACATGACAGTTTCTCACTGCCTATTCTAAGGAAAGTAGAGTGTGAGGAACAGAATAACAGACTGCATAAAAAAACCTCAGGGGATAGGCAGACATGACTTCAGCAAGTAATTTAAGAAATGGAAGGGATCAAAGAGCTGGCAGTTATTGAAAGGGACTATATTAAATGCAAAATAACAATGTAGAGGCCACAGAGTGTATAAGACTGTTTTAACTGCATTGGGAGAGCTTTAATAACCTAAAAAACCCCTACCAAATCACACAAAAAATAAAAAAAAATAGAAGGTGTGCAAGTGCATGGCTAAGTAACAGTATAAAGAGACAGTGGTATCATGTAGGGATAAAATCAGAACAGCAACAGAACAGAAATGAGTTATAAATAGTGAATGACATGAAGGGCAACAAGTAAAGGTTCCATAATACAATGAAAGAGAGGATGCAAGGTTTATAACTTCACAGGAGAAAGAACATATTACAGGTGACACAAAGTAGGACAAAGTGTTAAATGTCATCTTTATTTCAACTCTCAGCAGAAAGATTAACTGTGAATAGATATTTACTGAAATTCCATTTACAGGGAGACAGAAGGTGAGGTCAAAGTGGGAAAAGGTAAGTTAAGAGTAAAGGATAAAGTTAAAGGTAAGATAAAGATTTTCAAGTCAGCAGATGCTTATGAAATGCTTAAATGCTTAAAATGATGATTGAAGTGACATCTTGAGAACTCAGAGAGGACAAGAGAGACAGACTAGCATATACCTCTAAAAGAAGGGAGGGGAACTGAGGAAAGCAAAAACTTGTTAGCCTAACTTCAGCCTCTGGAAAAAATTTACATCAAGTTACTGAGCAAGCAATTTGTAAATAGATGGGAAGCAGATGATAAGAGCTAGCTAAGGTGGGTTATTCAGTAGCAGACTGCAACAAAACCTTCTTTATTCTTTTACAAAATACCTGGCTTCACAGGCGTAAAACAGAGCAGTAGTGACATAAATTTGACATCTGCCCTTAGATAAACTAAGAAAACACTACAGAACTATGTCGGCCAGAAGGTGACACAGACGTGAAAACCAGCTCTTGGAAAAAGTACTGGAGAAGAAGCCTGAACGCACGCACACCCGACCAGTCACTGAACCTGTGAGTACCCGCTCGGGCGTCACCTTACGGGGCGCCGACTGAGGCGAGGCGCTGGCCGAGCGCAGGCCGGTCTACCCCCGGCAGGCTGGCGGCCGGCGGCGCGGTGCGGGTGTCTACCCCCGAGGAACTCGGCGGGGCCCAGGTCCTGGACAGCATCTCCAGCTGCAACGACAACATCACCCATGAGAAGCGCGGCGACCCCTCCGCCCGGCCGCTCGCCGCCCCTCCTCCTCCGTAACCCTGGGCACAGCCGGGGCAGCGCGGCCAGGCCCTGCCGCCGCAGGGCGGGGACCGCCCGGCTCCACATCACCGCCACGCACCCGGCTGCCCCTCACTGCTGTCGGGGCCCGGCCGCACCCAGCCCCGCCGCGCGACCCACTCCGGGTGGGGGGCAGCCGATACCGCCAGGCCCGCCAGAGCCCGGTACAACTGCGGCGGGAGTCCACCGCCACAGCGATGGACAGCGGGGAAAACCCGCGGGGCGACGGTGGACACGGCCGGCCCGAGGGCGTGCCCATCAGGGATGGAGCCCCTCCTGCCCCGGCCCCAGAGCCGCTCACCTCCGCCAGCGCCGCCACTTCCCTGCCTCAGACTCCTGCCCGCAGTGGCGGGCGGGCGGGCGGGCGGGCGGGCAGGAAGGCGGTGCCTCTCCTACCGCTGCGACCCGCCCCCTGCGGCCGCTTCTATGCCGTGGCCAGGCGAGCAGCAGAACGCTGCCCCTGGGGTTCAGATGGCGGTGGGGTGGCAGTCCTGGGGGTCTGCTGCATGTGGGGGAAGAGGGAGGCCACGGCCGGGCCCGCGGTGCCCTTGAACTCGGCACCCAGTCACTGAGCTCCCGCCACAACTCCCTCAAGCCTGCGCAGCACCCCCAGACTCGGGGTCCCGCTGGCACAGAGTTGGGACCTTGTCGGTCCCCAGGCGAGCTCACGGCTCCGAGTGCATTAACACCTCTCCTCCTGGGCCCCTGCCCTCATCGGCTGTTCTGGCCCAGGTGTGTTCTTCAGCGGGAGCTCTCCCCAGGCTGATTTTTCTTGTTCTATCCTGGCAGAAGGGTGATGCTGTCCCTCAACCAGTACCCGCTGCAGGGCCAGGGATGAGGAATCATAGTCATGGAACCATAGAACGGTTTGGGTTGGAAGCGACCTTCAAAAGTCATCCAGTCCAAACTCCCTGCAATGAGCAGGAACATCTTTACCTAGATCAGATTGCCCAGAACCACATCCAGCCTGGCCTCGAATGTCTCCAGGGATGATGCATTCACCACCTCTCTGGGCCAGTGTTTCACCACCCTCAGCATAAAAAAGAAATTAATTCCTGGTGGGTGTTGGATGTGCCTGCAGCCCAGGCTGGCTTGCCCTGGTGTAGGTAGCAGGGAGGTCACTCCCCATGGTTGCTGTGTACTCTGTGAACTTGTTATACGAAATTCTCATTATAACAAGTGTTATACAAAATGAGAGAACATACAGGCTTCAGCCACATAAACACAAAGCTGAAGTCCAAGGTCTGAATTCTGTGTTGCTCAGCCAAGGAAATTTCCAGCTGAAGACAAATGGAGCATTTTCTTGAAAAAGTGTAGCTTCTGATTTACTGAATAAATTCCATCTTTCCTGAAGCTGTGCTGTATATGTAACAATTTGTAACCCTCATCCGTTTGTGTTTGACACATTTAAAACTGACCAACATGCATAATAATGTATGTCTCTCATGCTGCAGCAAAAATCTAATACATGCACAGACGATTGAAAGGAGCCTTATGATTGCAGTGATACACTGAACATACCTGTTTTGATCCTTTGTGTGTGCATGCTGACTTGTTTCTGTAGTGCTTTAACTGAGGACTTAAGCAGAATAAAACATATAATTAATTCAAACATTTGTTTCAATACATAATCACGAACAAGCCTACCATAGAATTTGAAAAGATAGCTGAGAAACTTTTCCTTTGTAGTTCAGAGGCCATTTCCCCCCAGTTATTAAATAAGTCATTTTCCTGACATTGAAAACATGTATTTCTACAGTAGTTTTAAATTTGGTAAACAGATGCGCAGAAAACCTGTTGCCTGATTTCTCAAACTGCATTTTCGCTCCCATACCGGGTTGATACTCCATAGAAGCCAGTGGAAAGATGAGTCCATTGACACACTACTCATAACTGAATTCTCCCTTTCCATGGTGATAACTATTTCAGCCCTCCAGTTCCTTTTTCTAATGTTCTTCTTTTCTTTGCTATTGATTCAAAAACCATCATCCCAGTCTTATTTTTCTGTAGTCAGTACAATTACAGTAATATGAGCTCAAAAAATTTAGTCCAACCAACAAATGTACCAAAAGAAAAAAGCAGAATGTTCTTTTTTCGATTATTTTTGGCTGATTCTCTTTACATACTACTTTATACAACTCTTGTCGCCATAAAAGCATTTATATTAAAATAGGCATATTTAGTCATGAAAGTAACTTATGCACCTCAAAATGATAGTGGTTCGGTTGATACGCTGGAGGGAAGGAATGCCATCCAGAGGGACCTTGACATGCTTGTGAGGTGGGCTGATGCCAACCTCATGAAGTTTAACCATGCCAAGTGCAAGGTCCTACACCTGAGTTGGAGCAATCCCAGACACAGTTACAGGCTGGGCAAAGAAGAGATTCAGAGCAGCCCTGCGGAGAAGGACTTGGGGGTGCTGGTCGATGAGAAAATGAACATGAGCCAGCTTCAGTG